GGGTAAGTGATTTAATTGATCTGCGACTCTTATCATTTTTAGCAAAAACTACGTTTTTACGTCAGCAAGATTGATTATAAGAGAATGAAGAAGTGTGGATTTGTATGTAAGTTATATGGCTTATCCAGTGAAGGTAATGAACCCTAGATTCTTACTTCCATCATTACAATTTAAGATAACAGATATTCGTAAATTTGACCAGTTTTTACAAATACGCTCGATTATTTACTTGTAGTTTAGTTAAGTCGCAAAATTTATCAAAAAAAAATTCATTCGTAGTTTGGTTCCGGTCTGCTCACTGGTTTAGACCAACGTACTTCTTAAGCGGTGATCATCAGCGTTGGTAAGGGTTATAAGCAGGGCGAGACAACAGAAACTTCCTTCCGTTGAAGATAGTGAAATTTCTCTTTTTGGGTATGCAGAGGAATTAAGCTGTAGAGCGATCGTTTCCGATCATCTTGATCTATTCTCTCCTTGTTTTAGTATTGGATGATCGAAGACAACCAAACTACGGGTTCGTACTGGATGATGGACTTCAATACAAAATCTCGCAACTGTTTTATTGTAGTTTTGTCGTTTCCGATGATCCAGATTTGACCATCCTCGCTGTTTGGTATATCATACGCGTCATTTCGCAATCTTCAGCGAATGGACAGGGTTTTAAGCAGACACCAGGAGAAAGAAGAACTAACGAGGATGACAGACAACGATGATCAGAAACGACCAATCTAAAACATCTTTATGTCTCCTTTCCAGGATAATCACTGTGTTATGTATGTAGTTAGTCCATATCAAATTCACAAACTTTTACATGATAAAACGCAGAAAATACTTCAACTACAAAAGAGACGATTGTCCATTCTCGCTGTGTATGGATAGCAAAAGCCTTGGGCTTTTCATCATCTTCAGCGGTTAGTCAGGGTATATAAGCAAGGTGTGACATAAACTTCCTTCCTGGCCCAACGAGCCTATCAGACCGAACAACCCAGACAATGATGCTTCAATCAAATCAACTTGGTTGGTGCTGGTACGCACAACCGCATCAAAGTACCTATCAAACAAACTCAACACTGAAGAAAGGTCAGGGCAAACAGCGAGAATAGGAGTACCAAGATGATCGCGACTAAGATTCGTCACCCCGCCAGACCTGAAGAGGAAATCTCACAAATTCAATTTTACTAGAACTGGCAGTCCCTTCGGCAACTTGTCAGCTCTATTTAGAGGCTACACCAAACACCAGATTTGACAAAACTACTGAATGCTTCTTGAAGAAGGTACTGCATCGATTAAACTGAAAATGTTTGGTATCTTTGATCTTCATTGAATATCGCATAAGCTAGGCATTTGGCTAACTTTAGTAGCAGATAGCCAGGTATAACAGAGTGAGGATGTAACAAACTTACTTCCTGGCAATACGAGCCTATCAGACAAAACAATATAGAAAACGATGCTTCATTCAAAGGAACTTATACAGAACGTATAACCGAACTTAAAACTAGAAGAAAAGAAATTAACTGCAGGTTCATACCACCCAACAGCCCTCAAGAGGAAACCTCACCAATTTAATTCATTGGTCCTTATTTGTCACACCATAGTCATTGGCCATCTTCGGTGGCGAAAAGGGTTTAGGGTTATAATCAGGGTGAGGTACAACTTTCATCTAGGCGAAACTGTAACTTTTTTCTAATCATCAAGTATAACTAACTCATCTCTGCTTAATTATGTTTAAAACCCTGATTAATAGCCTAATTTTATGATGAACCAAACGTAGCCAATCTAAGTAGTCCAGGATGATTGCATTTCCTGCGACTTTTGGATATGTTAAAATAATGAAATATTTTAGCTGATGATTTTCTAGACATTCATAGATCTCGGACAAAATTATGCAATCACCCCATTAGCAAATGTCATGCTTGTTGATTGTCACTGTTCGTTTTTGTTTCCCATTGCTTGATGTGGTGGGGAGGGAGAGCAAATAAAGTTTTTGCTTATCTCTGTGCAATAATAGTTTGCCTTGTAATAAGACGAAGTTATTCGTTACTCATTTTTATGAGACTTTTAATGAAAGTGAAGAAATTCCAAGAAGGCAATTATTTCATATCATCCACCCCCCTCGCCGACCCATTGTGCTCCTATGGAAACTCTTTATAATTTGTATTCATTATTACGAATGTTAATTCCAGCTAGACAAACCCTTTCGTTTAGCAATTAGGAAAATGAGAGTCCTCGTTATTCAAAAAGATAATGAAAGTCGCTCGTTCCCGTGGAAATCGAAAGGAGGGCCAAGGTAGAGAGTGCCGGCCCGAGCCGAGATGTCATACCGCCTAGTCTATATTTAAAGCATAAACAGGAGGAAGCAGTATTTTATTTATACTCGTTTACCAACCAATCGTGTTGGTTCTATTAGCCGGAAGTTGTCAGTCGATGAAACTAATCAAGATCGTGAGATACGTTTGACGGAACCCCCGGGGACCGACTTACGACCCCCGTAAGGTCATCGCTGGTAGGTCTGTGTTATCGGCAATGACATGTCACAAACGGAATGAGGGTCGGCGTTTGACATAATTTTATGAGGGAGTTCACACCAAATGTTCGCCGATTGTCCGAGAACGCCTTCGTACGACTAACCCACGGGATTCCTGATTGGCGACCTGATTACCTTGACGAGATGGTTAAGTTCATATTGAACCGATAATTGTCATCGTTTGGCCCATTGGTGGTCGCGTTTCCTTCCAGTTATAATTACTTTTAAAAAATAGAGATTTTTCTTGAAGGTTGCGGTGGGATGGAAACTTTGCTTTGTCAACAAAATGCCAAAGATAGGTAGACCCTACCAAGAGAAATTCACCCCCTCCCCCCCCAAAAAAAAAAGTACAGAGAAAAAAATTTTCTTGACGAATAACTTCTATTTTAGCTAAAAATTTTGCTTTCTCTGGCCCAATAAGTTAGAAATGGCCCAACGCCATAATAACGTTTATGCACAAACAAAGAGACTGTTCCTCTCTGAAGATGGCGCAAAGTTGAAACAGTCTTGAGTAACATCAAAAACCTATGAGTAGGACGGGCCCAATAAGTGATCCCAGTGTTGTTCAAATTTCACAATTGTTTCAATGAATTATTATTTTTATCTAAGGTCTTGGTTGAGATGAAAAAGTCAGTGTGACGAGCAGGATTCGAACCCACGACCCTCGGCGATTGGATAGTTCAAAGGGCTACAGCAGCGGGGCATTTAGTCGAAAGTCATAGATTTGAATCCCGCTCATGACACTGACTGTTTCATCTCAACCAAGATCTTAGATAAAAAGAATAATCAATTGAAATAATTAATATAATGGATTATGACCGCTAAACATATATGGTAATTGTATTTTACTCTTAAAAATTCTTTTTCAAATTTTATTTAAATGATTTTAACTTTATTTGATAGTGAAAATATGTTAAATTTACAATGTTGATTATTGTTTTAACTAAACACCATTTATTTTTATGCCATATATATTTCAATTGCTAATGCATTTCAGGCCATGTCCCTTGGCTCTCTTCAGAGCTACAATATTTTATGATAATAAATAAACACTTTTTTCTAAAAAAAACTAAGAAGTCTTTCTGTACATTCCTCACTATTTTGCTAAATGAAACTTACCGGTTCGGTAACCTTGCTAATTGGTGAGTCCCATTTCCATTCCATTAAAATAAATGGTGTGTTTAGTTTAACAAAATAAATAAATTATCAACATTCTATTCTTTTCAGTTTTTTTATTAACTTATGGAAGAAATATGCAATCATATTTATGCACCCTTGGGGCAAAACTGGATATGTTCAAAAACACAAATTTTCAGGGTTGGGTTTTTACTGTTCAGGCCTTTGCGCAAATTAAATATTTGTTATTACTTTTTCCTTTCCCCCCTTCTGTTTTATGAGGCTTCCGTCTCAGCCTCGTCGATTATACACAGCCTGTCAGCACTAGAGACCAAGGAATGTGCCCATATCTCATTTTACCAAAATTTGAATTATCCACTTTTGCCCCGAGGATTCAGATTTAATTTTTGGGTCTGAATTTTTTTATTAGCTGTATTTTCTTTTTTTTTCTTGTTTATTAGTACTTTATATGATTCATCATAATTGTTAATTCATCACTATTATATTGCTTTTATGTATTTTATTTATTTATGCATTTATTTATTAGTATTCTTATTTGCCATATCTTTCTTAAATATTCACTATTTTATGTATTTCATCATTTATTGCTTTTATTTATTTATACATTTATATATTAGTATTCTTATTTAACATCCTTTTTGAAACTACTACAGTTTATTGTGCAAGATGTGGAACGCTTCTGTGTTGCTGCTTTAAATTAAGATTTCTTAAAGATAATCCCTTCCTGGAGAAGTAAAAAGACAGGATAAGAGATCATAGGATGAGTTACGCTCTCCCCTTTGGACCCTGGAGACCTATAGCTTATATTGGATTCAATTGTGGTTCTCCAATTCTTTGGAAGCTAAGGAAGCACGATTTTGATGATATATTTGATTGTATAATTGCGATTTTCTTGGACACATGTTGCCATTTCACTGTTTAAAATTTCTGCTTGACATCCCATATTTGGGAGTTCATAAGCCCTGCTTTTTAGAAATGATGGAGGAGTCTTTTATGGTTTAGTCAGTCAGCTAATGGCATTAATAATTTCCTCAGATATGGATCCAGAGTACTTCGGTTTTGATGGTATGCTTGGTTGTATGTACATTTTTATGAAGTCGGCTTTTTGCAGTGATCAATCATCTTAGATTATAGTCCTAAAGAATAAGTTTTGTACATCCAGTTGTATGACCCTTTTTATTTATTTTTTAAATTTATTTACATGTTTAGTTTTTGGACACATCATTGTTCTCTTTTCACTCTTTCAATTGTCATTGTAAATTTTTCTTTATGGAATTTGTCCAAATAATATATTTATCGTTCAGTATTTAGTTTTACGTAATAATCGATTTTTTTTCAGGTAAGACAGTCCTTGGATCTGGAAGAAATGCCGATATACAAGTATCCGGACAGGGAGTAGAAGATGTGCACTGTTCTATCGAGAATGATGGCGGTGTATTAACGCTGATATCGCATTGGGGCGTGACAACAGTTGATGGTGATCAGGTGACGAAGCCCAGGCGGCTCACTCAGGGTTCTATCCTGGGACTCGGCAAAACTACCTTCTTCAGGTTCAATCATCCAGATCAGGCGAGAATGATTAAAAAGAGCCTCCCTGATGTCAAGTCGACAGTACTTACATTTTACCAAGGTGAAGACATAAAAAATAACTTTAACAAAAAATTAATTGATTAATTAAGAAAAATAATATTTAATTATTTTTAGGACTTGATGGACATACTCCATATCATCATTTGGAGTCTAGATCACGAGATGCCTTAAATGAACTGTCACAGTTTTTAATTAAAGGTAGTTTTTAAAAGCAGTTTTTTATTTAACAATTCTCTAACTAAAAAGAAATACAATTTCAGGGTATTCGCCTGAAAACGGGGAAAATAATGAAGTCGGAAGCCCGAAAAAATCATTACCGAGCCCTTCGTACAATCGAGATCCATCACAATTTTCCTCGCAGAAACCTCCGATAAAGAACAGCCCTCAACAACAATATCCATTACACAATGTAAGTTTGAATTGAAATTTTTTGTATGCGTAGCATCTAAAATGTAAGATTACATTGCAGGACAAGGGGAAAAATGACAAGCTTGATAACCAGTTGGCTTTAGAAGAGATATTGAACATGTGTACAGAATATGATCGCCAAATGCAACATGAAAGAAGTAGTAAACCAGTACAAAACAGAATAATGACAAACGGGTCCCTTCCAAGAGAAAAAAGATCTCCACAAAGTTCTCCTCTTAGTTCCAGGTTTTTAAAATTTATTGATTTTTTTCACCGAGAAAAACTAAATTTTAAATAGTTTATTTGGAAATAGCGAATCCCCAGATCATGTTAAAGATAAGGAAAAGAAGCTTCACACTTACGAGAATGTCAGTTTTACTTCTGGAAGCCCTCGGCCGAGGATTAAAACATTTCTGAACAAGGAAAACCAAATGTAAGATATAACATTTGCCACATCTGGAAATAGATATTGTCATTTTATGTATTCACAGAAAAGAGAATGGTGCAGAAAATAGGATTCCACTGGTCCTCGACCTCAAACAGGTCAATGGACCCTTGCCATCAAGGGAAAACAACAATGCGTCTCCAATCTACAACAATGTAAGCCCGTCGAGTGAAACAAGCTCGATTGGAGACAGTAAAACTGATGAGAACACGGAGAGGAGGACTGAGATGCTTAAAGCAATGAAGTACAACTTCCTCGGCTACTCTCCAGTAAATTCATCGGGTATAATTTTTTTTATCCAAAAATTCCTGATATTTAAATCTCAGAACTATTTCAAGCTTTCAACCAAAAAAAAGAAGGATGATACAAACAGAAATAAACATCTTATATAAGTAAACGAATAATAAAAAGTAATAGTTCGGAAATTATTTATTGGGCTGGTGCAAAAATAATACAGGCTTTGAAACGGCAGTCGAAATTATTTTTAAATTTTATGAAAGAAAGAAAATTTATTCGAAAAATTTTCCATCACAACCTATACATTTTTGCTAACATGTAATAAGCACTGACATAAAAATCCTAATTTCAATTTACAACAAAGTCTTGGAAGGCTTCACGATTTTGCGTGTCATCCTTGTGCAGGGGCCATGTTAATCTTCTTTTTTGTCCCTTTACCATTAAGACTTTTCCCCTCGGTTTGTTTTCTATTAGAAGTAGTTTTACTATTACGTTTAATGTTTTTTGATGGTGTACTAGCATGTAGTGAATAATTCACTATTTTTCGTGTCCGCTTGACCAATTAATAACATTCAATTAATTAAGGTTTTAAGTTGAGATAAAAAAGTCAGTGTCACGAGCGGGATTTGAACTCACGACCTTCAGCTTGATATGCCGCTACTCTACCACTTGAGCTATCGTGACTTCGATCACCTCGGATACTAACCTCCCATCTCAACCCCACCTTTCGAATTTTCCCTCCTTTCGGCGTATCAAGCCGAAGATCGTGGGTTCGAATCCCGCTCGTGACACTGACTTTTTTATCTCAACTTAAAACCTTAATTAAGTAGTAAATAATGTTATAACCTCACTTTGATTCTTATTATTTTTTTTTTTTTTCGTCTATTCTTTTTCTCTTAACTTCCAGCAGACGGATTGTGATCCATGCCTGTATTATGCTCTGCTAATAATCATTGTTTTATTCGTAGAAATAAAAAGCATATATGAAAAAAAAAGTCTTGGAAGGCTTTTTCAGCTTTATCGCATTCTCTAAAAATTTTATCCCTCAAAAAGTGATCAAAACGTTTAAAATAGTGGAAATCTGTAGGGGAGAGATCGAGCGAATTTAATGTAAGGTGTGGTAAGATTTTATATCTTAAGTCCTTAAGTTCCTGCAGAGTTGGCATTGAGCCATGTAGCCTGGCCTCTTTCGTTTTACCAATGCTGGAAAATCGTTGCAGTTTCTCGTGCATTTTGTCAATTTCTTGGCAATATTTCTCTGTTGTGATAGTTTCACAATTCAAGAAATTATAGTGAACAACCCCAGATGTACACCACAATTCACCATAACCGTTTTTGTGTGCAGATTTGGTTTCGGGATGTTTTTGGCGCTTCCCTCCGTGTCCAACCACTGGCCTGTACACCTCCTGTTATTAATTATCGGGTCCAGGCAACTCCTCAATTCCCTCCCCAGCATCCCACCTCTCATGCGAAATAACCATCCATCCCCTTCTGCTCTTCGGTTAAAAACCTAGGAGTAGTCTTTGACCAAAACCTTTCCTGGCATTCTCACATTTCCCAAATTTCCCGCCATTCCATTGCCTCCCTCAGCCTGTTTCGTCGGTCCTGGCTTCTCTTACCTTTCTCCACCCGCAAACTCCTTGTATCTTCCCTTATACTTCCCTTCTTATAGCTGTTTGGCATACGGGGGTCTCTCGGAGGGGGAGAACGCGCGATTGAAGCGTATTATGAATTGTTGCGTAAGATTTGTGTACGGCACCCCACGGGGATCCCGGGTGTCGGGGTTGTATTCCCAACTTTCCTGGCTATTCCCCTCCTTCCGTGCACAGTATTTCCTAGGTTGCTTTCTTTTCCAGTCCATCCACACTCGTCGTCCTCCTTACATCATCCAATCCCTCCAATTCAACTCCTCACATCTCACTCGTAAGACCCGCTCATCCCCAATCGACCTTATCCTTCCGCAACATACAACCCATACCTTCGAAAGATCCTTTCTGACCCGAGCCCCTAAACTCAGGAACTCCCTTCCCCTTTCTATTTGTCACACTGCCTCCTTTTCCTCCTTTAAATCCCACCTGTATAATCCTCTCCCTCCAAGCAGAGACCTCATTAACATTTTGACACGTTAATACGTTTTTGTTTAATATTCTCGTAATTTTTTCTTCTGTCCTGCCTTATTGGTATACATTGTGCCAAGATTTTTTTTTTTTTTAACTTTTAACTTCCTTTATTTATTTCATGTAAATTATTCTTAGGGGACACCAGTCCCAGAATAAGTTATTTTTCTTCTTCTTCTTTCTGTTATCATACAGAATCCATTTCTCATTGCATGTGACGATTCAATCATGATACGGATCATTTTGGTGTCACAATAAAAGAGACATGCAAATTTCAAAGCGTCAATTTCTTTGGGCTATAGTTAGTTCATGCGGTACCCACTTGCCCAGTTCTTTTACTTCACCAATTTGCTCCAGATGGTGAACAACTGTTAAGTGGTCAACAGTAAGCTCTTACGCAATTTCCCTTGTTGTCTTATGTGAATTTTCTTTTGAGTTGGTCATCTTCCACAACACAAGGAAATTTCCAAGATGAAATCTCTGAAACCATCGCTGCACCATGCATTCGGTAATGCTTCCCTCCCCCTAAACTGTATTGATGTTACGCATGGTTTGGGCCACAAACGCCCAAGTTTAAATGTGTACAAGTAAATTTGACTAAAATCTAGTTTGTACATATTTAATTTCACAGGTCCTCACTGTTATAAAATTCAATATAAACTAAAATATTTTGTACAAAAAATAACAGTTAAAAGTATTTACTATAATCCATAAATTAGATTTGAGGCTTTAGCTTTGTTTATATGACAAGCACTTGTGAAAATAAAACAAATTTTCAAAACCTGCATTATTTTTACACAAACCCAGTAGCATTAGTAATTTAAAAAATTTAATAAAGATAAATTCATACATGCTAAACCTTTTAAAAAAATTCCTTTTAATAATTATAGTGAAATTTCAGCATACAAGACATGCGATCAAAACGACTCAACTTGCGCCCCACAATCGCCGTCTTGGACAAACCCCAAGCTCGATATGAACAGTTTCCCCGATTATGAAATCTTGACGGGGCCAGAAGAGAACGTTAAATTTCAACCCGAGGATGATATCCCACCTGACAAATTGCATAAGCTTTTGGTCGAGAAGGATTGCATACAACAGCGGCTTATTTCACTCAAGAACTTAATCAAGGAACTTGAGCGCCAAGAGCAAGAAATGATACAAGAGACCGCATTCGAAGAAGCCCTTGTGAGTGGTGAGCTCAACGCTCAGGACGAGAAGCTCGCCCAGGATGAAAAGAGGATTGCAGTTTTGAAAGAAAGGATAAGCGAGTGTGATATAGCCATGGAAAAATGCCTAGCACAGCAAGGTGAAAGTCAAGAACACTTCAACATTGTCAAAGCAAAGCACATGTCAATAATTGAGACGTAAGTAACTAAACATATTTAATTTTTAGTGTGTTTTTATTTCATGATTTTGATTACAGTTTGGAACATAAAATTAGAAATTGTTCAGACGAAACACTGAAATATGAACTTAATATGTCTCTGAAAGAACAAATGGATTTGTTAGATGTTGAAAGAAAGGTAAGACGTTGACAATTGTTTCAAATTTCTACATAAAGCTAAACTGAACATTTTCAGTCCCACGAGCTGCTAGAGTTCCAGCTCCTTGAGGAGGAGGCAGGATGGCTGTCGAAACGAGAGGATCTCCAGAAGGAACTGAACGATGCTATTGAACGTCATAAGTTACGAAAAGCTAAAGTCGAGGAATTGAAAAAAGCCAAGCCTACGATCAGTAACAATCTCGAGCTTGAGCGAATTGTCCATCTGAAAGAAATTGAAGAGGTATGGCTATCTTGTTTACACAAATGTTTGCCAAATGGGAGGGGTATATCATCTGATATCTTTTATAGGGCAGGAATAGACTGAATGAAATCAACGAAAAGATTGACGCGATTTCTGTGAAACAGACTGTCAAAGTAAGTGTACTTTTTTTTATTTTTATATATATAATTGATTTTAAAAATCATTGTTTTTTTTTTGTTTTTTTTGAAAAAATAGGGATTTATAAGTCAAATGAAGGATAATTATTAGGGGGGACCGGAAAGTAATGTTGTTTCTTCCCATGTCAATATTCATTTGTCATTTATCAGCTCATTCTGTACTTCAAAGTCTCGTACCAAAGGCATTTAAGATTAGAATGACTTGTTTACTCGCAAATAATCTAATTTTTTTTTGTAATTTATGGTGAAATGGCCAGCTAAATACCAGAAGAGGTATACAGAGTGAGTCATTTTTTGACGCACCATTGAAAAATCAACGTGGGTGCTTTTAAAATTGACTCAAGGCTTATTCCTTTTAATTAATATGTTAATAAAAGAAAGTGAATCAATTTTCGGTGCACCATTGGAAAATCAACGTGGGTGCTTTTAAATCTGACTCAAGGCCTATTTCTTTTGATTTTAACATTAAAAAAAGGAAGTGAGTCGATTTTCGGTGCACCATAGGAAAATCAATGTGGGTGCGTCTAATTATGACTCGACACATTTTATTTTGTTAGTCTCGTACTAAAAAATAAGCGAGTAAGTTTTTGACGCATCATTCGTTACAAATTAGTTTTAGTAGGTTGGAAGGAAAATAAGCAAAACCAATAATATTAAAACATTATTCAAACACAATGTAAAAATTAAAAAAAAATTCTTCACATATTAATTTGATTAAGGTTTAAGAGTATTTTTTTCTGGCAAAGTAAAAAAAGTAAATAAATGTAACAATCTCCTTTTTTCTGGCAAAGTAAAAAAAATTAAATAAATGTAACAATCTCCTTTGTTAGCAAACCAAAAATGTTCAAAATCATTATAATAATTGTTCGAACAGACCTCCATTTGCTGCAACACAATAGCCTAGTCTATCGTAAAACGATGATCGGACGAAAAAAATACTCTTAAACTTTAATCAAATTAATTTGTGAAGAATTTTTTATTTTATTTTTACATTGTGTTTGAATGTTTTAATAATATTGGTTTTGTTTATTTTCCTTCCAACCTACTAAAACTAATTTTTAACGAATGGTGTGTCGAAAAGTGACTAGCCTATTTTTTGGTACGAGACTAACAAAATAAAATGTACCAAGTCATAATTAGACGCACCAACGTTGATTTTCCTATGGTGCACCAAAAATTGACTCACTTTCTTTTATTAACGTATTAATCAAAGGAAATAAGCCTCAAGTCAGATTTAAACGCACCCACGTTGATTTTCCAATGGTGCATCAAAAAATGACTCACCCTGTATATCCAGCATTGTATATTTTTTTAGTTTCACAATAGTTGCTACCAAAATCATTTACAATCTTTATCCAAGTGCATGAGATGTTCGCAAATTCCAAAGATGGTTTTCTAAGTTCAAATCCGGTAATTTTGATCTTTTCGACTCGTATCGATCAGGAAGATCAACAACTTTAGACAATTACATGTTAAGGGCGGAAGTGGAAGCAAATCCGTATCAGACAATTGAGGAACTGTTAAACCAAGAACATTGCAGCAGATTGGTAAAGTTAGTAGACCAGGTATTTGCTTCAGCGGCACAATGCAGAAGTGTTTTTTTGATCGCTTGATCACTGGAGATGAAAAATGGGTCCTCTGTGATAATCCAAAATGCAAAAGGCTCTCTATGAATGAATCGCCACGAAGTACATCTAAGCCAGGTTTACTCTCAAAAAAGGCGCTTTTGGAGTATTCTCGGGGGGGGGGGGGTTTCTTTCATTTTGAAGTGCTGAAACCTGGACAAACTGTGAATACAAAACTTTACTGTGAACAATTAATCAAGTAAAGCAATCATTAATTGAAAAGTGCCCGATTGTCAACAGAAAAGGCGTATTCTGACAAGATATGCAAGATGGCACTGCACAAGACGAACCCTGGAAAAAATTAATGAATTTGGGTAGGGGATATTGTCTCACCCTCCATACTTGCCAGATATTATGCCATCTGATTTTCATTTATTCTGATCGCTACAAAAAATTTTAAGTGGCAAAAAATTGGAAAATTTGGATGTTGTCCAGAAGTCATGTCTAGATATTTTACTCAAAAACCAATTGATTTTTATGGATCCTGCTTTGAAAATTTGCACACTAGGCAAAGTGTGTGGTGTTTAGTGACAGTTGATTAATGATTATTTGGAGATCATGAGATACGGTCTGGTGCGACGCGACGTAGGTTTAGAAAAACATTTCTTTATCGGGCCAACGTTTCGTTATTTATTAAGATCATCTTCAGGGCTCAAAGTGCTTGTTTTCTGTGTAGATGTGCCATTACTGTGTGTCACGTTGAGAGTGCCCAAAAACGTCTAAACATGGCACGATAAAGAAAATGTTTTTCTAAACCTACGTCACACCAGACCTCATCTCACGATCTTCAAATAATCACTAGGCAAAAGGTTGTTGATAACGAGCGTAATTACATCATTGATTAAAAATAAAAACTTATTAAAAATTTATGTTTGAATTTAATGTAAAAGACATTCTTTTCTGGTCCCCTAATATTTTGCATTAAATATCAATTGATATTTGCTTATTCGAAGAAAATATCAACAAAACCTGTTTAAACAGAGAGTGGGAGGTAGAAAAGAGGAAGGACTAATTCCCTTCAATAATTGCTGCATAAAAGGCCCCCATTTAAGCACTTAAGAATTCAATTCTACGACATTTCAATACACACACGAGTCCTCACCTTTCATAATTTCCTCAGGGTCTGACGGACGGTGTTGTCAGGAGACGGGTGACAAGCCAGGACGATTTAGATAGGATATCTCGAGTCACCTCGGGCGCACCGATCGACATGGGAGATTGCAATTCTCTAGGTCGGAGAACAATAGCATCATTGCAAGAGATCGAGCGTAATCGGCAGATTCACCTTGCCAACCAAGGAAGCCTGGTTATTCAAGAAGAGAGGCAAAGGGTCGAGGAATTGAAAAAGAGGGTCCAGGATGAAGTAAAAGCACAGTGGCAGCTAAACAGAAACAGCAACTGCCAGTCTTTCACCTCAATGAGTGATTCTAGTCTTGAACCAACACGTGACAGGTTTGTATATTTAAAATGCTTTATTTTATAAGGCAAAGATTTTTTTCCTTAAGAAAAATGTGTTGTAAAAATAAGTCCATAGTAATTTTTTATGGTAAATTGCATGAAAATTTCAGATACTTGTAAACAGTATACATATGAACCATTTTGTTCCATTGTCTGTTGCCATCTTTGATGTAATTTTGTAATTCTGTCCTCCCAGAACTTCTCAGGTTTGTGAGTGATGAACCCCTCAGTGTGTTTTCTACAGTCCTCAAAAGATGTAAAGTTCTTGGTATTTTTTTTTTTTAATCAAAAATTTTAAAAAAAATTAAGTATGTCAGTTCAAATGCAGGGCTGCTGTATGCGAACCCAGGACCTTAACTTTACAGTGATGAGCGCCATGTCAACACATAAACTGTTGCGGCCACCGATGCCCCATCAATAGAAATTAAAATAGGCAATATCAGGGAATGGGTAGTGGGGTAGCTCTAACAATTGGCTTGTCGGGGGCTCCCTTGCAATTTGTCAATGTGTTATCATTTTTTGTCAATTGCTGACTTCAATTGCTATGAATGTGTAAGCGGACGACGGCGCGGCGGCCGAACTATCTCTCGATATTCGCTTGCATTTCTCTAAGCGACAAGAGATTAGTCGGCGTAAGCGCGTCGCTACTTATTCTTGTGTAGGGGAAGGTAAGGTTCCAGAATTCAATAAACCAGAGAGCATATTCAGTAACATTTATTGTACACAATTCCTTCTCTTAACGGTACCCAAACCACAGAATCTAATTAATTTACAAGTCAGTAGTCACAACTCTAAATCTGGGATGAGTCTATCAACAAAGGGACTTACCCGAAACGATGCTCGCTATGATCAGTGTCCACAGCATCTCTTCTCTCGACCTCTGACTTGGCTCGATTGGTCGCAACGGCTGATCCTCGCTGGCTCTGGCTGGCTGAGTCCTCTTGTTGAATCCCAGACGGAGTGTGGCTGCTTCTCTTCCGGTCCTTGGTCTTGACTGCCTGGAGTGAGTCTTTGATTTTGACTGACTTTTGATTGCCCAGTCATCCCTTTTATACCGGGTCTCTCCCGGAGTAGGGGTGGAAAGGAAATTCAAAAGTTGGGGGAGTTCCCCAATTTACGATGTCCCCTGTGGCTACGATTTTTTGACTGTGTGACAACCCTTCAGCATTAAATAACTAGACGATAGTTATTTATTTGATCGGTTGTCCAGCTATTGTTATTTTATGTTCTCCAGGTTCGTGGGAAACAAGACGTGGGTCCAGCCTGGGTCTGCCACACACTTCGATGTTCTTATCTATCTGTCTACCTGGGTAACCATTTCCAAGCAACGTTTGACAGATTTGGGGGACGTCACGTCGTTCCTGTCTGGGTGGTCACCCCTTCAGAGTTGCAACCTTTGTTCCCTTTCATCGTTTACCCTATTTTGTTCTTATTTTAACAACTAAAACTCATCGCTAAGACGGGCACCGGCTTACAAATGTTTGCAGGATGCACTAGAATTCACAGTTTGAGTGTGTGAAAGAAGCTCATAAATAAAGCACCCCCTTCCAATCCCACCAGTTGCCCAAAATTACCTTCATGGGATGTAATCCTGCTTTTAGTGTTGTTAACGGTGGTGTGCTGCATTTGCCCAGGATTTTCCTGTATGGACATTGCTGCAGAAGATCCACATTTCATCCCCAGTTGTTCTTTTTAAAACAGGTCGTTTACATTGCGTTTACAAGAGAATCGCAGATGGAGATGCAGCCCAAGAAATTCTTCTCAGAAAAAATGTGAGGAACCACCAACCTTGACAAACATAGCTAGCCACTCTCGGATGCATTAAATCCCTTGTATGAGTTATGTTAAAGCCTCTTTCAGATGGTTGATACAACTAAGTTGCCCATTTGTCTCTCAACTAATTGACTATTATGTTGTTGGTGTCAATCAGGAAGTCTTTAATTTTATTTTTATTTTTACAAGCTTATTTTTAACTTATTAATTTGCTGAAAACTGTAATAGATTTATATTCTATTATCTAATGTATGATAATATTAAGTTAGTTTTAAAATGTGTATAAACACAGTGCAAAGGTGCAATCGCTGTGGGTTTTTTTCCCCCATCAAAAAATTATACAGCCATGTTACAAAGAATATATACAATTTAAACTGTTTATCAAGTTATACTCTCTTGGATTCTTGAATAGAGCTCTACTTTCCGTAGTTGGTGTTCTACTCCTTCTTTCTCCAAATCCTGGTAGAATTTATTTCTGGCTGACAAATGTTGGCTGTAGTGAAACATTATGTGCGTTAGGTCCTCCTTTGCTCCACATGTGCACAATTAGGGTGTTGTTTTATGCCAATCTTGTGAAGATACCCTGCTGAAACCTCTATCTGCTCATCTTTCCAGCCTCCAGCTCCATCTATTCGGCTCTTCCTTTAACCAGGGAATACACACGATGCAGCACAACATGACATGACCCGAAGCCGCCCAATGCAAATCCAATGTCCAATTTTCCATAAGATCATATTACTCCCTTGCACATCTACCCAACGCTAGACACAACACTACCCTACCTGCTCTACGCTATGCCATACAACCAAATTCCCCACTGTCCAAATTTTCATCAAGTACTATCGAAGACAAAAAAAAAGGGGACACATATTTTTTGTAGTTTATTTCAAAGTATATGTATTTTTGTCGTTATATTAATTACAACATGCTTGTTTTAATGTAAACCAAATTAAACAAGATCAAAAATTCATGAATTTTTATAAAAAAGTATTCAATTATGATGGTTTAGCAGAAAATTTATCAAAACACCAGAATACTATTTACTGCATGTAATTCTAGATGTAAATGTTTTCATGTGGATTTTTCGTATTTGTTCTTTCTTTTTTTTTTTACAATTTATATTAACCTTTTATTAATGCCTCTTATTCCTCCATTGCCCGTACAGAGTAGTCTACAACAGGCTTCGCTCGCGGATGCGACCTCTTGGGATTCGCTTCGGTGAGTCCTTAAGGAGGGCCGGTGCTTTGGCTCTGGGGACGGTGCTTTTGTTGGGCCACCGGCCGACAACCCCATGGACTTTTCTGGTCGTACTCGTCCACGACGATCTGGCAAGCTTGACCAAATCGTGTACACCACCATAACTCTACAAGGCTAAGTTCCTTGAACTTAGAAATAAATACGCCGGTTTTCATCTGATTTTTACAGACGGGTCCAAGACCGACGATGGTGTGGGCTGTGCAGTGTATAGCGAGGGAGTGGCCACCTTCTGTCGTTGTCCCCTCATTGTAGCGTATACACGGCAGAGTTGTATGTGATTTAGCACTCTCTCGAGGTGGTGCGGACCGGGGAGGGCTCGGCCTTCCTCGTATGTACCGACTCTCGTCGTGCTCTTGTTAGAGAAATATGCAGAGCTGGAGACTCTCGGAAAAACGGTGGTTGTTGTCCGGATTCCTGGACACGTTGGCCTGGAGGGTAACAGATGAGGCGGCGAAAGCTGGTACGTCCCACCCTCCGGATCGGACCATCACAATCAGGCCCCCTGACGCTAAACACGCAGTAAAAAATATGATAAAACAAAGATGGCAGTGTCAGTGGGCGGGGTCGTCGGAAAGGCTCTTGCGAGTCAAGAGCACAACCCTCAGAGAACCTGAGCAGGAGACGAGGGATCTTCCTCACCCGACTGAGGATTGGCCATACGCGGTTGACACATGGGCACCTGCTTTTGGGCCCAAGCCTTATGCAGAGAAAGGTTGTTCGATGTGTCCCACATAATAGAGGCGTGTCATGCCTTGGCTCCATACAGAGAGCGTATAGGCATGCCGCCGGACTTAAGAAGAGTTCTCGAACACGGTAGCGAGTTTCAGAGCCCCCTGTTCCGCTTTTTAGGGGAATTTTTTTTTTTTTTTTTTTATAATATGTCTTATGTGTTGTGTCTATATGTTTTGTCTGAGTGCATGTATTTATTAGCGTGAATGGCGAGGGGTGAGGGTGAAATATAACATCATCATCGCCCCTCGAACGTTGAGAGCGTATGAGTGTGTGTGTTCGGGGTCGATGGCGGAATATTTATAAAAATACTCCATCGACCCCAATCTAGATTAGTTTGAGGATAGGTCGGGAGGAATATCAAGTACTCCACCGACTAAACGGAATGAGTGTACTGTATAGATGTATTTATGTGTATGAATGTATTTGTGTATGAATTAGTGTTTGAAAGGATAAATAGAATATAGCCATAGTTGGGGGCTGAAATGACCTAGATGTCGGAAGCCCCAATCAAAAAAAAAAACCCTCTTATTATAAATTTGATCCTGCTCTCGTTGTTAGCATATTCATATAGGGTTTACATTAACACATTTCAGTAATTTGTTTGTTTGGAGACAACATACTGCCTTCCATCAGTGGGAGGGGATTATTTGTGGAAAACCAGCATTTATACTAGAGTTGGTTATATCCTCAATTTTGTGGAGCCCTGATTTGCACATGTGTGAAGGCTTTTTAGCTGGTTTCACATCAGGCAAATGTGGAATCAACTCTCTTCCCAACGGGAGGTCAGTACAATATTAGAACCCAAGGAAGCAGAAGTACTGCTTCCGCACAAAATAGGAAAGAAACCCCATCTAACAAAAGTGTGGGTTCATCTGTTGTTGATCAAAATTGGGACAGAACTGTCTAAATAAAGATAGCAAATTATTGAAAAACACTTTTGACTTATTTGACAACTCAATCTGCATACTCAGGGCAAAACTGGATAATTCAAAAACCCAACTTTTCAGGCTGGGAATTTTAAGGTTTAGGCCTACTTTAGTACAAATTCAGTGTTTGTAGTAACTTTTTTTTGTATTGTGATCACATTTCAATTAAAATTCTCACCATAAAAATTATACCCAATCTGTCAAGTCTAAATACTGAAATTTGCCAAAATTTGACTTATCCAGTTTTGCCTTATACTCCACAGTATTTGATTCAATAATATTTTTTCCATACATTTTTTCCTTTATTTTATACATTTTTAGGGGATCCTTATAAATCCAGTATCTTATAGAATCAGTTCTCGTTCAATATGATTTAACTTGCATTAGACCAATTTTATTTATTTATTAAATTCACTAATTTCGTGGTCCACTTGACCAATTAATATATTACAATTAATTAAGGTTTTTAGTTGAGATAAAAAAGTCAATGGCACGAGCGGGATTCGAACGCGATTTGTCGTCGAGAATCCAATCCGATTACACGACATTTGAAAAATGGCAAAAAGGAGGGAAAATTCAAAAGTTCGGGTTGAGATGGGAAGTTAGTATCCGAGTGGATCGAGGTCACAATAGCTAAAGTGGTAGAGCAGCGGCGTATCAAGTCGAAGATCGTGGGTTCGAATCCCGCTCGTGCCATTGACTTTTTATCTCAACTAAAAACCTTTTTTAATTGTAATTTATTTGTTTAATTTTAATATGTATTTGTTTTGTTATTTTTTTAAGTGGTGTAAGCAGTGAAGAAGCGGAAAAAGGCTTGCAGCCAGTGGACGAAGTACACAATAAACCATCTCCCGTATGTATTTAATTTTTTCTTGAAATATGCATTATTGGCACTAATTCTAAATTAATTCAAATTCACATATTTATTGAATGTTCGTAAAATTATAAATAAATAGAGATTAATTTATTAAGAAAGAATGTACCACCTTTTAGATTTGTACTTGTTTCAAGATAATAGTTGGGAAAAAAATCTTAAACTATGTCAGTAACAGAATAAATATATAAATTTAACTAAAACTTAAAATACAGTAAAAATGTTTTTAAAAAATTTACATCTTTATCTTTTGAAGACCTTTTTCGTGAAAATTTTGTATAAATTATATAACATTCATATTGTATAATATGATTATTATTATTATGAATAAGCGATTCATACCCGTGGCAATTAATTGTAAAATATTTAGACTCGCATATGAATTTGGCAAGCGTCCAGATTGAAAGAGTGACAAAAATATTGTGCCGAGGAAGAAAGCCAACTTGTAAGGTCGATCTTGTCTTTCTCGTGGAAAAACAATCAATTTAATTCTACCGAACATTGTAAGTTTCAGAGGCGACTGAATCCTGCATGAGATTAATGATTTAAATTTATATGGACTGGATTTTTTTTATCATTGTTTAGTGTAAATTAAAAACGAGAGTCCCTTTGCAAATTTGGCAAAAAGAAATTAGGTTTATATATGACAATTTGGCAAAGGCTTCGTTTTCGTCATACGAGACCCTTTTGTCTCAGAAGTCTGAACGGTGCGCGTGAAATAACAAAATGTGGCTGAATTATGCGAATATTAATAAATCAAAGGATCAAAGGAGAAATAGCAATACAAAATCTGTAAGCTTGCCTTTATTTTATATTTGTAGTTTTATCAAATCATTTGTTAGGCTGATTTTTTGATGGTAGGTTTAATAATACAGTCTTTAACTCTAAGCAGATGACTCAGAATCTCTTGTGCCATATTTATGCATGATTTTTTCCTGTAAAGGTTTTATTTGGTAACATTATTGTTTATTTTTAATTACACAAAAATACCAAAGCAATTTAGTAACACAATAAATTGTAACAATTGCAAGTTATAATATATTGATGAGACTAAACGTTTAGGAAAAAAGTTTAATTGGCACAAAAAAAATATCCATAAAGGAGTAAATAAAAGGAAATAAATTATTACATCTATGTTTTATTTAATAAATGTTAAAACAACTAATTTTGGCTCGCAGGTAGTGCTAAAGAGCTAGTTATAGTTTTGTTTTATTGGTTGCTTTAGTTAAATATTTAGAAGAAAAAAAAATTTATGGCGAGTGGCTAGTGTATTAATGATGACATGAAATGGCTAAAATGTTACAATATTATAGGTCGAAGTCAGCGTGACACCAGAGAGCCGGCCTCTCTCAGATGCATCGGGTTACAGTGACGACCAGCAGAATGTGAAGCTGCGGTCCAAGTCGTCGATGAACCTCCAGCGACCGTTGACCCGGTATCTTCCCATCCGGAGTGACACGCTTGACCTGAAACGGCATATCGAGTCAGCCGGTCACCAAGTCGACCTCTGCCCGCATTTAACCATCGATTCGACTTCATGCCGCGGCTACCTCAACAAAATGTCGACGAAATTCAACTCGAGGTGGAACAAAAGGTGGTTCGTATTCGACAGGGTGAATCGCACCTTTTCGTACTATTCGGACAAGTCTGAGAAGAAAGTCAGAGGCGGAGCATATTTTCAGGTGATTGTTTTTTACTATTTTATGCTGTATAATTTATACTAAAGTCTAAATCAAAACAAAAACATTAGCAAAAAAATTTCCAACTATGCAGCAAAAATTCATATTTTTATATTTATATTTATTTCAAAAAATATCGGCATAACTTATTACTGTGTGTACTTGACAGATAGTGGTGCATACCACAGATAGCACTTTTTACGTTTTGCTGTTTCCTTGATAGGCAGAAAGTGCAAGTTCTACATTAATTAACATATAATTGCTTTTTTCATCTGCAGCTTCTTCAATATTAAATTCAATTAATTTAAATTCACTAGTTTTCGTGGTCCGCTTGACCAATTAATATCATTCAATTAATTGAGGTTTTTAGTTGAGATAAAAAAGTCAGTCACGAGTGGGGTTCGAACCCACAACCTTCGGCTTGATACGCTGCTACTCTACCACTTGAATTATCGTGATCGATCCACTCGGGCACTAACTTCCCATCTCAACCACACCTTTTGAATTTTCCCTCCTTTTTGCCTTTTTTCAAATGTTGTGTAATCGGATTGGATTCTCGACGACAAATGAAATGGTCACGGAGAGCTTTAGTGAAGTATACTTCATTTTAACTCATTAAATTCACTAGTTTTTGTGGTCCACTTCAATTCAATACTTATTTTGGTCTGTGAAGTGTTAAACCTATCTATATCATACCCGATCATCATGGTGAATTTATTCTTGCTCCTTTTGTCGGTCTTGTGGTAAAATATCAACACATTTTTTATTTTAAAAAAAGCTTGATTAGAGACCATGGATCAGGGACTATTTAGACAGGTTTATCACAACATTTTGCAATATTTGTTAATCAAAGTGTGAAATTGCAATATTTGTTTTTTTATTAAAGATAAATTTAAGCTCATAATTGTTGAAATAAAATTGTTCAACAATATCTAGCTTAAAAATCATATTTCCTCCTGTAGTCTACTTGGTGATTAACTTGCAATTTGATCGTTTATGTTGAAATGGCACAATCACTTACTGGGTCTGTCTCCGCTCGCGGGTTTTTAAGTTGTTCAATCTGTGGAATTTTGACATTTCACTGATTGATCAGGAACATAAACAGGGTGAGAGACCAAGTTTCTAAAACTCACCATTGATGAAAAAGGCAAAAAGGTTACGATCAAATTGCAATTGTGTAACTTGGCAGTTTCTGTCAATTTTTGCCTGCCTGTTCACTGGTTATAAGCAGGGTGAGGCCAAGATATCAAAAACCCACTACTGATTATGGTGATCGGCCAAAACACATAGGACAGATCAAAAATGAGAGGATAGACAAAATGGTTACGATCCAATTGCAAACATGTAGCTTTGTCATTTCTGTCTTTCTTCATTATTTTGTCAGACACGTTTTGGCCTTATACCATTTTTAGTGATTGGTTAGGATATTCAGTAAGATGGGGAGATCAAAGATTTCAAAAACCCACCAGTGATGACAGTGAAACGATCAAATTGCAGATATATAACTGGGTCATTCCTGACAATTTTCTTTCTGTCTAACTTTTGGCATGTCAGTGGCATTTCAGCCTCACCATTTTCAGTGATTGGTCATCAATGTATGCTAGGTGAGACGAAACTGTGAAAATAAGAAAACATATCTTGAGAAAAAAAATTGATGTTTTGATTAAATTATTAATTCCTAAGCCAAATTCTAAATAACATTAACACACTGTGTGATTTCTCCATGAAGTTTGTGGAATGAGAAACATGAAGTTTGGTTATTTCTGATCATCCTGGTCAACAAAAGCACTCAAGGAAGATCAGAAACGGCCAAAACTGCACTAACCATTCGTTATACTTTCAACTAGAAATACTGATTATTATTATTATCTAGGCGATTGAAGAAGTCTACGTTGATCACCTCAACACTTTCAAGTCTCCCAATTCGAAAGTCACGTTTGTCGTGAAGAGCTCAAATCGACTCTACAACCTTGAAGCACCAAGCCCAGAAGCTATGAGGATTTGGGTCGATGTCATTTTCACCGGTGCTGAGGGTTATCAGCACAACTACATTTAAGCAAGCGACGGTGCCTTTATTTTTTCTAGTGCCTTGCTAATAAAAATTATTATCGTATTAAAAGCTACTTTTATCCCAAGAAAATGTCTCAGTCTATTGACAAATCAGTTTAATTTGTCGTCAAACTTAATGTTGAAAACGCAACAGACCACTAGTCAATATGAGTTCATCCTAGTTAAAATGTTTTATTGAGCTTTAAGTTTAAAAGTTTTAATTTTCAAACAAAACATTTTTGAAATAAAGCTCATATATATTCATACAGTACCAATATGTATTGATATGCATATTTAATGCTTATTCAACTGATGTATCATTTTCTGCAGGTAAAAGTGGCAATTTTAGATAGGCTGACCAACATATGCAATATATATACATAGATATAAATATGTATATGCATTTTTTTCTTTTTTTATAAAACTAAATGCAAAGACTGTAATTTTCTTTTTTTGTTTTCATGCAGTTGCCTTAAAATAGTTTTTCTTCAAATTTGAAGGGAAAATTTGAATGTTATATAATTAAAATAACCAGTATTAATTGGATAAATTGTTGCAGGAGTCAGACAAATTGTAAATACGTTTTGAGTATGAATAAGACAGAAATATTTTTTACAAAATGCAAGTTTTGTAAAATTTAGTTTGAATTTTTAAAAATATATTACTTTTTGTTTAAATATTAATATGGTTTCAAATTGCTAAATGATTTTACTACTTGATTTTTTTTTNTTTTTTTTACTGAGATCTGTACAGTTATTACTGATTTTGATAGCGTATGCTAACAATTAACACGTAAGTTTAATTATTTAGGTTACCAGTAGTTTTAGTCAATTAAAATAATAAAAAGAATAATATTTTGTTTGTACTGAATTTAAAAAAAGTTATTCATTTTCTTGTATGCAAAACAATTATTTTAACAATTATAAAATCATTTAAAGTTGTTTACAATTTTTTATTCCTCAACTTCAGTCCCCAGGTTTATTTATTTGTTTTGAAATAAGCTTGACTGAGTTTTATCTTTTTATTATGAAATATAAATGAGAGACGTTCTCTCCTGTTATTTCCAAGTGCCCAGGGAATCACTGGGAGGATTTTAAGCAGCGATCCTAATCGCCAATCTCCGTGATACCAGGTCACCGTCGAAACTACCCATAGATGACCAGATGGGACATGTCTCCGGCGGGATATCGTAGCAAATATGATATAGCAAATATGTAGTATTTATTTATCCTAGACCTTGTGGTGGCGTGAGACTGGCAGACCTCAAAGTGCAAAAATAATGGGTGAGGGAAGCCCTCATGGGAGCTACGCCACAAAATTTCTTTTTTTTTTTTTTTTTTTTTTTGACGGTTCGCAACAGCATGTCATATAACTTTCAGGGTGCCAGTGTTTTTGAAAATAGCCCGTATNTTTTTTTTTTTTTTTTTTTTTTTTTTTTTTTTGAGGGTTCACAACAGCATGTCATATAACTCTCAGGGTGCCAGTGTTTTTGAAAATAGCCCGTATGTATGTCAGGTTCAAATGCAGGCCGCTAATTCAAACCCGGGACCTTTACCTTACAGTGATGAGCGCCAAGTCAATGGTTAAACCATGCAGCCACCGTCGTCCCCACAAAATTTCTTTAAAGTAGTGGATGTAGTCTGGGGGCAAGAGGACCTGAGTGTACTAAGAAAATTTTCAAGGATCAATCAGCTCCCAAAAATGCTCTTTCCTTCTCCGTAACAGCGCTGATGTCCTCACTCTCCTCTACTGACAGATTAATGAATCGACATACTCACCCCACCTTTATTATTTCAATATCTCAACTTTAAAATTTAAAAAAAAAAATAAGCATATCAAGAATATACTTTCTCAAGTCTCAATATTATTTAATTAAACACTAAAGTCACAACATATTATACTCACAAAATATTATATCCAAAAGAGAATGCAATATTTTACATGCATAAAGTTAATCTTTTATTAGCGATTTTATTTAATTCTGAAATTTTCTTAGTTATTAACAACTAGATAAAAACACCCTTGATGAATTTCTTAAGCCAGTCTAGGAGTTGTTGTAGAGTCTTGCCGTGCATGATTTCGTTAGCATAGCCACGGACGTACTCGCTCACCTGCTCAGTAACAAACTGCTTATTGTCCTGAAAATACTGGAGGAAGGCTGTGTCAAATATATTGGCCAACTGCTCTTCTGTCAACCCCTCAACAGTCAGTCCATCTTCTGAAAACTACAAAGAAATTTCATTTATGTTTTTGGGAGATTTCCTCTTGTATCCTACTTTCAGGTCGTTGATGTCATAATAGATGTCTAGTCTCTTCATCTGGATATATTTGTTGACGAGTCCTACTTCGACGTACCCTCCTGTCTTCAATTGTGTTAAATCTAACCTGCAGAAACCCGGTGTAAAACAGGCTGAATATTATGATTTTGTTTTGGCTTACTTGAAATGCCCAGCGCCTTTGACATTCTTCCCTTTGACAGATCCGATTACATTGTAACCGCCTTCTAGGTGCATTTTTGGTACGGTGACTGCAAATTTTGCCCAAAGGTGAAAAATATCATTCTCGATATGGTCAATGGTGAAATCACTGGCTTGAGACACGTAGAGGTCACTGAATTTAACTGTTAAACTTTCAAAGCAAAAATAATTTTTTTTTTAAACTGTAAATTAAATTAGAAAATTAAAATTGTAAAATACTCACTCAATTCCTTGACCTTTGACCGTTTGAACTGGCATCTCAGGTACTGGGAATGGTTCAAACTTCTTGAACAGTTTCCTAACATATTCCAAAGCTTCAGTAATTAAGTCATCAATTGGATTTGAAACAAGTGCTAAAATTAAAACACATCTATACTCTTAATGTAAAAAACCTATATATGAGACTTTGTATTATTATTATTTTATATAATACATTTTAATTTTATATAAAATCTAAAAACCACAAATAAATAGAAAAACAAAAGAACGTAAATTTACTTAAGGCATTATCAGTCGGCTTTGAGAAAGCTCCACATAGGAGAAGTGGAAATACGAGTATCGCTACCGCTCTCATTTTTGACAATGTACTTCTTGAATGTCATAATTTAAATACATCTGCAGTTTAGATAATCTTATCTAACATAAAAAACATGTTAAGTAGTTTGTTTTGTTTTTTTTAATGAAAACATCTCAATCACATCCTTGACTGTCAAGAGCGTCCAACGGTCACCTTAAACACTTGTTTCCTACAAAATAATGAAACTCTTGTTCTACAATATATTGAACATTTAAAATTATGGAATTAAAAAATTTTATGGTAGCAAAATAATGATGTACAAAATTGAAATAACGACAATTTTACCAAATATGTGTTTAATTGAATGAAATGAATTTAATTGAAGAATTATTTTTGAGGATTGTGGGGTTGTGTATTTGTAGTTTCAGCTGAACTAAATAGAAACAACAAGGATATAAACAGGATTGATCAAAACATATGCTCGTCCTCTGCAGGCTCAACTAGAATCTCAAAAATATCACAAGCCACATTTTATACATAATTTATATAATAAACCTGTTGGGTTTGTCATAAGAAGCTTTTCTGCTTCACCACCTAACTACACTACAAAGTACAAACCCATCATTGAAAATGGTCAAAACAGATGGAACAGATTGAAAAGACCCCTAGTTTTGTCGTTGCATATCATTTTAGTCTGACTATCATCGCTGTTTCAATATGTCAGAAATAAGCTTCAGCTACTTGCCACCTTCATTGGTTGTAGTGTAAACCTCTGTCAAAAAGTTAATTTCAGCCCCACCACTTGTACTAAAATATTTTATTTGTTATTTCAGTAATCACTGCAAAAGACCTGACATTTTGCTTTATTAATTCCTGATTTCCACATGGATTTATCTTATGTCCTTTTCTGTTTTTCATATACATCAATGATATCTCTTCTGCTTTATATGAATAAATTTTTGCATTCGAAAACGTCTTTTTTCATTACATAAAATAGTCTATTAATAACTAACCATGTTTACTACATCACAATATTTTGTCTCCAATTGTCATGGTCTGCCTGTTGTCGCTGTTTTTTTCATCCAAACATACATTGCTGCAGGACAGAAGTCTTGCCTCTCCCTTCTTATATCCTTGATCTTGAAGACGGAGAAATGGGGTCTGACTTACTAAAACACCAAGGATAGGAAGGCCAGTGCTCAGAAACAACTAAACAATCTTAATAGTTTCACGTTAGTAATTGCTTTTTAATCGTCAAGTGCTTATTTGATATGGCAGAATTCTCACTATATATAACAAATATAACAAAAAATAATGCTTGGAAAAACTACTAGTTTGTGAGAAATTAGAACTTAAGAGCCAGGTAAGTCAATTGTAATAATATTAATAATATTGCAAAGTGATATGCAAATGTTTTCACATAAATTTAAGTTTATTGTGTTATTCTAGAGAAATTCACGACTTAGTTATCGCTTATTGCTGTCGTTGGTCTGTCAAAAGAGGTTGGATTGTCTAAGAGTGACTGAAGTCATCCTTTACTCTTGGCATCAAAGACTGCTGGATTTTTCTGCTCTAGCAATCTCCTAAGTTTACGTTGTATCATCTATAGAAGAAATAAGACTATTAATCAAAACTTAGATTTCTGCGTTTTATCCTTGAAGCATTTTTATAACTGTCCTCTGCAACGCAATGTACAGAAAAAATCGTAAATTTTGTCAGTACTTTCCCGACGGCTTACTCTGACGTTCGTGATCAAAGAAAAACGGTGGAAAGTGTCTATTCTTCACAAAAATAAAAGGGCCATTCCATCTTATTTTTTTCAATGTCGAGACGATAATGCGACCGATTAGAAACAATTCTCATAGCAAAGCTATTATTTTAACGTTTTACTCAAGCCATCTGTATTCTATTTATAATAGATGTTATATTATAGTTCGTGTTAATAGTTTTGCTTTTGAAGTTTTTTATTGTTAACAGAAATGATAACAGCCAAGAGGTCGAAGAGCAAGGTGTCGAAAACTTCGGTGGCCATGATGAAAAGGAAATGTATTGTAAGCGTTTATTTAAAAAGAACCCGAATGCGTATCCAACTGTTTTTTTTTACAATTTCGTTTCCTTGGGAAAAAGGGATCTTTGGAGAAAATATCACTCTTCTTTACATCAAATGTGCTCTGCATGGAGAAAAGCCGTCGTTTTAAATTTTTTACCGTTGTGTCACCTTGTTCCGTTATCAGCATCAGTTTTCTATCAGTCAAATCTTGTAAAAAAAAAGACTGTCAATTTGAACAAAATATTTCAACTCCGGAATGATGAGTTACTCCCTACTATTCAGAATGGCCTAATTTGATATAAAATACGTCCTTTTTGTAGCAGGGTGGCCCGAATGGCTGACTGCAGTCTGTTAATGTAAAAAGCCAAGACTGCGGAACTTATTACTTCCTTACAATTTAAACTCCGCGTCATTTAAATATGGATAAGTTGATAGGCCAAGAACTAATTTGACTAGGTTCTGTAAATATTGTTTTACAACACTTGGCACGAGTGATGATTCATTAAGATTCCAGGATTATTTAATGTAAAACCGGTTATATCTCCTGTTCTGCACTTAGAAGAACACCGATGAGATAGCTGTCGTATTTCCTCCAGGGTTGTTGTTTTGATCCCAAAATATTTTGCGAAGAAGTGTAGCTCCAGTTTGTCAGCAAATATGGTTGAGTTTTCCTATGGAATCAGGGGCGTCGGAGTTCGAATCCAAAGGCCCTGTATTATGAACCCGGCTTGTTTATAAATGGGCCTTTTTTTCAAAAACACCGACACCCCCTAGGGTTGTCCTCGAGACTATGACCTCTGATGTTGCGAATCCTCGTAAAAGAATTGATTCTAATGCCCGGTCTTATTGATTTACTTCTTCCTCCGATATGTTCTGTTCACTATTCCTTTTTAAATCTTGAAAAAAAATTGTTTGGTAAAATGAATTACTGAACCAGCTGTGGATCAGCTTGAAAGTTTGTATACCAATAAATTTTGATACTATGAGTTCCTGGTTCAATATTATCGACTCCGTTTTACTTCGACAAACTTAAACTCGAGCTTAAAAAGGCTGAACTTAGCATTTAACTGATAATTATTGTCGATTGTTGGCTGACCAACATCCAATAGTGTGGATCAGCTTGGGAGTTGTAACTGCCAATAAATTCAGCTAATTTCTTACTCACCATTCCTATTTCGATATTTTTTATTTAGTTTTGACTTCATCTGGCTTAAACTCGAGCTTAAAAAGTCCGCATTTACATCTAACTGGAAATTATTGTCGATTATAGTCTGGTTCACCTACATCCGATAGTGTGGATCAGCTTGGGAGTTGTAACTGCCAATAAATTCAGCTAATTTCTTACTCACCATTCCTATTTCGTTATTTTTTATTTAGTTTTGGCTTCATCTGGCTTAAAAAGCTGCATTTACACCAGACCGAAAATTATTGTTGAGCTTGAGAGTTATAACTGCCAATAAGTGCTTGCTCGACGTTTTTGGTTCAATATTTACGACTTTGTTTTAGCTTCGCCCGACTTGAGCTTAGAAACCCTAAACTTAGCATCTATCTAACTGAAAATTTGTATTCGATTGTGTTATGTAAATTGAAAATTGCATCTAACGACAAAACTGCTACTTTGTTGATTCCTCCTTCCTTTCTGGACACAGTCTATTGTCTATTTTGGACTGATTCCTCCCCATCATACCCCATGAATCAGTTTGAGAGCTTAACTACCACAAAATTCTAACATCTTCATGGTCAAAATATTCATACATCCAACATACTCGGATTCATTTTAGACTCAATGGATTTAAACTCTAGGTTGGAAAGGCTAAAGAGAACGTCTAACTTTAGTTCCTTGTCGATTTTCGTCTGATTCACAACCATCAAACCCTGTGAAGCTTACTGAAAGCTTAAAAACTGTTTCTACCAAAAAAATTAACACCTCATGCTCAAAATCTTCTACGTCAACATCCTCGCATTCATTTTAGGCTTAAACTTAAAGTGGGAAAGGCTAAATATATCATCTAACTACAAATTATTGCCGACAATCATTTGATTCACCACCATCAAACGGTGGCCGCAACGGTTTAGGCGTTGACACGGCGCTCATCACTGTAAGGTAAAGGTCCCGGGTTCGAATCCAGCGGCCCTGCATTCGAACCCGACATACTTACAGATAGATTAAAAAAACACCGGGACCCTGAGGGTTTATATGGCCTCTTCTGCTGCAAACCCTCGTTTAAATAAATAAATAAAAAATAAAGAAATAAATAAAAACCCTGGTTTCAGATCTGGTGTTGAAACTACCCGTAAATTTTCTACTTTCTGCTCAACGTTCAATATTTTTCTTTCGTTTTGGCTTGGTTAGACTTAAATTCGAGCTTTAAAAGGTTGCATTTAGCATTTAACTGAAAATTATTTTCGATTGTAAACTGGCCCACCAAAATCCAATCGTGTGATTCAACTTGAAAGTTGTAACTGCCATTAGGTCATTCGTTCAATATTTTCAACTTCATTTTGAACTTTTTAAAACGTGAGCTTACAATTTTCTAGAAAAAAATTCCCTTGTTGAAGGATCTTTCAGATAACTACCCTTATTTCTTTTAACTTGATTCGTCGTTGATCGACCTGCAGATAATCTATGTAGGGTTCCAATCTTCGTAGAGGTCATAGGTAGACACCCATCTAATGACCTCTACGAAAAAATTTCAGTTTAATTATTTAAATTCATCACATCTTCTTTTTCAGAAGACGAGCTTATCTTCTAGAAACAGGTTCCGGTTTTTTATCCGGAAGCTGATCCAAAATCTTTACTGGATGACAGACACGACTGATGTCCCATTGGGGAACAATCCGGATGTCAACGCGTACATTTTATCCCACAAAAGACGAGACAAGCAGCTCATATCGCTTGCAGTCAGTTTTTAGATGGATTTACGAACTTGGTGGCCGAGTTTATTGACATCCTAAACTTGTCTTTTAGGACAAAGTCGTTTTGAGAAGACCACCAGAATCGAGGACAGAAGAGGAGTTGACTTCGATCCGCAACAAGCTGGTGCCTTTTAAAGCTTTCAGGAATTATTCAGATGTGAGTCCACTATCCAATAAAAACCTACCACAAATTTGTTTCTTTCCCTAGTTCACGTCTAAAAAGTATTCCCAGTCGACCAATTGGCGCTAATTTATTGACGAATAATCAGCCAAAACGAGCACACCAGGCAATTATTTAAAAGAATTTCTTTATTAAATCTCAAGCCTTTTACCGTCTAAACTATTAACGTTGAATAATTCAAATTTTGGTATTAAGTAATTAAAGAAGAGCATCAATGATTTTTTAAAATGTAATTTATTTCCCTTTAGACCTTTGTAAAGTTAGATCTTTTAGTATTGCTTGCAAGAGCAGCTTTAGACAGCTTACAGTCTCTCCAGACGGTCCCATCCCTTCATCTTCAGCATCCACCCTCGCTCGTTTTAACTGATTTACCATTGGCTTTAACGATACGTTCGTTAAAAGACACGATTATTGCCTGTCTAAAACGTTATAAGCTTCTCAGATTAGCTCTCCACAAGTACAACCGATTGTCCAAAATAAGTTAGTCCGTTTCCCTGTTTCGACTTTGCTGCCTATGTTCATTACACTGTCATTTTTGTCTATTTAACATCCAAGAATACATTGAAGCTTGTAAAAAACTTGAGAAGGAAAACCTCAAATAGTGTTTAAATAAACGCATAAAGAAGACGTCCACTGTAGATCAATAACAAAACGGTAGTGATCTTCACTCAAGTAGGCCTGCTGTCTGGCACCAACACTGGACAACAGACAGACTAGAAGAATAGAATCTCCACACAAGACTTAAGATACAAGGACTTAAAAGAAAACAGACAACTTCGAAAAATTTTAATTGGTTCCACCGATCATCTTGGTCTGCCTATACTCGCTTGGTTGGTCTGTCAGACGCCTTTCGGCATTTCATCTTCGTTGGGTCTGTTCAAGACGACCGGTAAGGATCAAATTATAGGCTCTTCACTCCGCAGACTATAGTAGGAATCGATTTTTTTTACGACTGTTAAAAAATCAACTTTTTTCGAAGCTTTACGTCGACTAGGTGGATATATGGAGCAGAAGTGAGTCCACCAAGCCTCAAGTCTTCTCAACGAAGTAATGAAGGTTTACCTGGATGAATTACATATTCCCCAGTAACTATTCATAGTTCATGAAATACTTAGTTCCCTAGTGATCATGTATCGTTGATGAATTGCTTAGTTCATCCTTTATAAACTGCTTAGTTCACCAGTCATCCTGTTAGGTTTAGGTAAGTCAGTTACCATGTCAGTAACAACCATCTACAATATCCTGAGCATTCCTTCGCCAACGAACTGACCAATTTCCCAACTTCCTAAAGTTTCTTTCCTTTTGACCCATCCTAACCCTACTGCACAAATGTTACTGATCCATCCCGAGAACTCCAGTCTCCTGAAACGTCGATGGCCTCGAGACCCCTCCGTATCTGTAGACAGTGATTTAAAAAAATCGATAATTGACACTCAGACGTTTGCAGAAAGTGAGGCACGATTTGCTCCAGAAGGCCATATTCATATACTACAAGCCTAGGAAGGTGTTAGTCAGACAAGGGCAGAGGGCCATGTATGTCTACTACATATTATCTGGATCGGTCCAGGTCGAAATGGATGTGGAAGACTCGTTCTTCACCAAGGGAAATGTCAAGACGACGTATGAACTCAACGCAGGGGATACTTTCGGCGAAATCGCAGTACTCTACGACGAGCCTCACACAACGACATATACCGTCGGGAAATGTAGTGTAAAATACTCTTGAAGGTTTGTTCGATTATTTTTCTTTTTACGTTTTGTTTCAGGTGACGGTTTGGAGGTTTTAGTCTTGAGTGCGAACGATTACAAGCTTATTCTCGAAAGCTCAGTCCAGAAGAAGTGGAGTAGGGTGAGGTGGGCTATGAAGAAATTCTCCTGTTTCGACAAATTTGGCGAGATGACCCTCAGGTTCTTCTGTTGCGGTGGAGAAATACTAACATACAGGCCGAACAACAACATCCCAGGTACTGTTTGATCCATCCGCCTCAACTGTGGATTTATACATATATACATTTTAATCTACAGTACGGGACAGTTTAAACAGAGACATTTCAACGTTTATAATCGATGGGTCGTGCAGGGTCATCCAAAAAATTATGGTCACCAAGTGCCCTCCCTCTTCAAAGGTCAGGTATGCTCTCGAAAAGAATCAGGACGCCGACAAGGTTAAAGAGGGCAAATCGATCTACATGCAGACTTGCTTGTTAAAAAGGGGAGCGGTTTTTGGGCTGGGTAATCATTCCCATGTATTTTGACTTGAGGGATTTCATCAAATTCGGTATTCGTTCCAGGAGAGGGCATGTCCAAGCACATGGTAATAGCTGTTACGGAAGTTCTGGTTCTCGCGATACCTAGGTATGTGCTGATGAAGCACGACGTGGCCAGAATTTGGACTCAAGCCGCATTGAACATGGACATCTGGTATCCCAGCGAAGAAGAAGTATTCAAAAATTTTCTCCAAGGTCGGAACTGGTCGATCTACAAGAAAAAACTGTTAAACAATAATTGGAATAAGTACGCTTCTGAACTTTTCGTTTGTATAATAGCCGAAAAAGAAGTATTAAAACGCCACCCACGATACACCTTGAAATCTTTGTGAAATGAATGAATTGTCACAGCTGGGACATTTATTTTTCTGATCTTATTCTTACCTACGTTTCAGGAAAAGGACAACCGAAATGACCATCCACGACACACCACTCTCGGTGCGCGCCAGAGAAATCATACTCTGCGACTCTTTGTACTCCAAAACAATCCAAGAGCCAGACTACCTCTTCGTGGAAATAAACGAGGACGAACGGAACTGGACCGTAAAACCACAAAAGTACTTTCTTTAAACTGTTTCAGGTCGGAACGGGAATAATTAATTATATGTGTATGCCGTAGATCTAACACGAGGCTTCAGTTTTCCATGGGAAAGAAAGGATTTTGGGAAAGAGAGGAAAGCGAAAGACAAGTGCATAGATGAAAATAAATATTGTTTTACCATGACTTGATCTTTTTTTTTTAATTAGATGCATTGCCAGTAGATATAAAATAAGGCAGGTAATGGCTACGTCGGGTTAGAACGCCGTAAGGATCTGGAATCTTAAAAGAAAAGTTATGAAAAACCTGCATCATAACTAACATAAAAAGGGTTTTTATTCATTTTGAAAAAATCGAAATCTCCTTAGCTGAAACCATTCTTAGATTTATAATAGAAAAGGTGCTTTGTAGCCAACACTGAACCAACTAAAAGGTACTTTTTTGATTTTTGGATCATCTCGACGCTCACATGATGATGCGGTAGTCGTTGGTCACTTATCGCAAATTCGGTTTTAGCTTGTTCATAGATCTCTGCCAAGATCCGGATGGAGAGAACAGACATTTCCCATTGGGGGTCGCAATGTCATCAGAAGGATAATGAGGCTTTTTAGCGTGCGCACCTGACACGTGGCCTTATTACAAGTTTAGATTCTCAAGATAGGAACGACACACCTCCGTTCACAAGAAGACAGTGTTACTCCTGTGAGGTTTGGTGAAGAAGCCACCCATCCACAGAATAAATTGACTTCTCCCGCCTGCCCCTTCTGAGAGGGTGGGTCGACATCTATGCACCAATCATCAGGCTGCGCAGCAATTGGAAAACCGCTCACTCAGTACTGAAATGCATCAGTTGACTGACCTGCTATACCAGCTAGATGGAGAAGGTAAAAGTACTATGTCGCAGAGTGTTGGGCCCCACCAGCGTCAGATCTTCTCGGCTTATATTGGAATTTCTAACCACCCCCTAGAGGAACACTGTCTTCGATAAAGGAAGCCAATGAAGGCACCACCTAATAACAGGCTCTACTCTAAGTACCCGCCAGGGATCTCGCCACTAAACCACTACGATTCCATTCCCATGTAGCGCGATACCAGGTTTGGAACTTGGAACTTTGCGCTACCTCGTAGTTCAGTTGGTTACTGTATCTGGTACCCTAACCCGTCTGTGCTACTGACCGAGCACCGCTGCTGACGTATAGGCAACACACGAATACAGCTGTGTTTAAGAGAGTTCAACACGCTCGTGAGAGTAAGCCTTGAGACTACACCATAATGCTTTACCTGGAAACCCCTTGCAAACAAGGGTTAGAAAAGATCTTAAAATATATGCCGTAGATATTGGCTGTATGGAGAAAAGGAAATGCCCGAGAACTTGAGGCTCACCTTTGCAGTACCTGGCCATGTACGACCCTTTGGCACCGTGATCCCCAAAGTATGGAAGTACGGTCCCTCTGGATAGATGAAAGAGGTGAGAATGATCGTTCAAGCGCCGAACAAGTCTCAACGCCATCCCGACCACCCTAGCTCGAGGGATAGTTCCGAGATTTTGTGATGGCCCTACCAACACACATCCCAGATTAAAAACTGTACATTCTCAGATACCTTTCTCCACATGTGTGTATTCAGGGGGAGAGGTGGTATGTGTTCGAGTAACGGGTGTCCCCAGGGCCTGACTTCCAAATGGGTCTATCTTATGCCCTCTTCTATTGTTCAGGTACATTAAATGATGTATCTTGCTTTATATGAATATTTTTTTGCGTTCAAAAACGTCTTTTTTCATTTCACTGTAAAACTTAAGGGATGGTTAATTAGTGTTTAACGTGAGTAATTAGGTATTAGTCACTAGTTAAATTTTGTAAAAAATTGGTAGTTATAAAACAAAATTCCAAAAAGCCGAGGGTATTCATAATTTTGTGACCTACTATCAGTTTTGGTGAATCATCCACAGATTCTTAGTAACCAAGCTTCGTCAAAAAATTAATTTCAGCCCCACCACGTACCTAAATTCTTAATATTTTAGTAATCTCTTCTAAAGACCTGATATTTGCTTTAATTCCTGATTTCCTTATGGGCCTATTTTATGTCCTTTCCTGTTTTCCATACACATCAAATGACATATCTTCTGTTTTATACGCATAAATTTTTACGCTCAAAAACGTATTTTTTCATTACAAAAAATAGTCTCTTAATAACCAAGCTTCGTCAAAAAATTAATTTCAGCCGCACCCTTGTGCCTAAATATTTAACATCTCAGTAATCGCTTCTAAAGATCTGATATTTGCTTTAATTCCTGATTTCCTTATGGGCCTATTTTATGTCCTTTCCTGTTTTCCGTGTACATCAATATCTCTTCTTCTTTACATTAATAATGGTTTGTATTCAAAAACGTCTTTTTTTCATTGTAAAGTAAAACGTAAGGGACGGTTAATTAATTGGTTAATTAGTGTTTAACGTGGGTAGTTAATTAGAAACTAGTTAATTTTGAAAAAATATTAGTTACAAAGTAAAATTACAAAAAAGCACTTTTATGAAAACATTTTTGACCTACTGTTTGCAAATATGTATGTCGTATAAAAGTAAATTAATTAATGTATAATTTTGTTTGTTAAAACATTTTATTACGTCCTGGAGGGCTTGATAAAATAAAAAATATAAAAAAACTGTTCGGTTTCTATCTTGAGAAATAAAGAGAGTCGAAGGGGTAGAGAAAAGGGCTGAGCGGCGACGGGCGAAGGGCGAAGGGCGGAGGGCGGCGAGCGCGTGGGCGATCGGACGGCCGGTGGAGTGGGGCCGCGCGGCGGATGGACGGGCGCCTAGGCGAAGGGAAGGGTCGCTCATGCGCCCTGCGCCGTTCTGCCTCTCGGTTGCATGGGCTTGGAGATTCGAGATCACTCCGCATTCGAACTTGACCCCGGTTCATGTATTTGATACGCTTCGAAAATGGTCGTGAGAAAAAAGATACGGGACAAAACTAATTCGGCTCATCGAGTGAAAAATGACAGTGGCTTCTGAAGAGTGAGTATCCACTTTCAATACTGAGTTAGAGACCGACTCCGAAAATGGGCGTTTACTTTTAGAAATTCGCCCCTAAGCCCCCCGAACCCGTGCCCCAGGGATAAACAAACGGACGTCTTACACTTTTTAGGGCCGACGGGACGGACGGTGGTAACGTTTTACCGTTTCCGACTTCAGGACAACGAAGACGGGGGTCCGCTTCCTCTCGCTGTTATCTTCACTGTTTATGTTTATGTCAGACCTTAACCTCTTTCTCGGAGTCGTCAACTACAATTTAGACTTTTCGTTTGGACTGCCGCCCTTTTTTTTAAAATTACCTATTTAAGCTAATTTTGGTCGATATATGCGATATGCTCGTTTCGACTGGCCACATGTTGCTTTTCTCGTTCAGTTTTCTATTTCAACAGTTTCAAATGGTAAACACCTTCCTTACTGGGAATTTCTTCATACAGCATAGTTTTTGGATTACTGCGAGCCTCGCCTAATCTTCTTTTGCCCATTGCAGACTCAAACAAGAATACCTTTTATGTTTCGCTCTCCTTACTCGCTGCAGAATCTGGCACTGGATCGAGAAATGGTCCTTACGTGTTACTTTTTGCAAATCCATGCAATACCATTAGAAGATTATCACACTCCTTAGTTGTCACATTAATTTATAACAGTCACAAACAAAGATAAAGTCTGTTCTTCTTATGCTGGTTGATGAAAGTTCGGTCATCTCCGATCATCCTGGTCTATAATTGGTGAGCATGTCGGCTATACTCATTCAATCTTGCCTGAACCTGCTTACAACCCTGACTGTTTGCAAATGGCAAAATGCCAAAACACTGAATTGAAAAAAAGTTTGGAAAGTACTGTCTTTTTATCAATAGGGAAATTTAAAAGAAAATTAACAATAATACAGTTTGGTCATCTCCAATCATCCTGGTCTTGGTGACTCTGTCAGCTACTCATTTAATCTTGCCTCAACCTGCTTACAACTTCATCGTTCGCTGAAGATGTCAAAATGGCGAAATACTGACATACAAATTGAAAAACCTCTGTAAAGTCCTTTTTATCAATAGGGAAATGTAAAAAAATTAACATTAATATAGTTTGGTCATCCAGAGATGCAATACCATTATCAGATTATCATACTCCTTATTTGTCACATTAATTTGTCAGTTACATCAAAGAAAAAGTGTGTTCTCTGTACTTTTTTCCTTTTATCAATAGGGAAATTTAAAAGAAATATTAACAATAATGTAGTTTGGTCATCTCCGATCATCCTGGTCTTTACTTAGTGGCTATACTTATTTAAACTTGCCTCAACCTGCTTACAATCTTGACCGTTCGCTGAAGATGGCAAAATGCCGAAATACGGACATACAAATTGAAAAAAAAAACGGAAATTGCTTGGCAAAAAAATAATAACCAATAATGTAGTTTGGTTGTTTCCAAACATCCTGGTTAGCTTAACCTGTTTGGTCTGTCGAACCCAGGCGGTTGGTATTAAACAGGTTCATCACCCCATGAACCCCAAGAGTAAATTACAATAAAATATATGCTGTGTGGTATCTAGTTTAGTCTGTAGAATGATGAACCTGTAGTTTGGTCTTTCTGATCATCCTGGTCTACCTAACCTCTCTGGCCAAGTCTGACATTCAAATTGAAAAACCTCCAGAAAGTCCTGTCTCTTTATAAGTAGGGAAATATATAATTTTAAAAAAGTTTCCTCAACCTCATTGTTTTTGCCTGTCAAACGCAGGTGATTAGTAATAAGCATGCTCACCTCCCCACAAACCCCAAGAGGAAATCTCACAATAAAATATAATTATGTTGTGGGATTTCTGGTTTAGGTCTGAGGAGTGATGAACCTGTAGTTTGACGTTTCTGATTATTCTGGTTTGTGATAGCTTGCCATGTCTGCCATACTCATTTAATCATGACTCATCCTGCTTACAATCTTGACCGGTCGCTGAAGATGGCAAAAAGCTGACACTGATATACAAGGTGCGAACCCAGACACTCCAGAAAGTCTTGCCTTATTTTCGGTATGGTATTAAAAGGCATTAATAATAATGTAGTTTGGTCATTTAAAAATATCCTGGTTCAACTTCATTGGTTTGTCTGTCGGGTCTGGATGATTGGTAATAAACAGGTTCATCACCACTTGGACCACAGGAGGAAATCTCCAGTAAAATATTGGTTGTTACGTTTAGTGGAGGTGTACCTGTAGACGTTTAGGCGCATCTCCATCTTCAACAAGACAAAATCAGTGAATGTGGCAAGATACTCAGAAATGAATAAATTACAAAAACATTAATAAAACGAACAAATGATATGATGGTCTACTGGTTTTGTCTATCAGATACGTTTTGATTTTTTTTTCTCATTATTCATGAAGTTCCATGTCTTGCCTTACTCTGATCAACTACTAAAGATATGAATAACTACATTTCACATACCACACAAATTCATTGGTAAAAATTTCATAAAAAATGTTGTAATTAAAATTTTTGTATAACTGTCTTGTAAAGCAATTCTTCTTAAAATATTGATTGTCATGCTGAAGTGTAATGAACTTGATACAATCTTCCTGTCCTGCCTATCCTCACTAGTTAGTCTGTCAGACCTGCTTGAATATTACCTGGAAGATGGTCATTTTGGCCAACTACTGAAGATGGGAAAATGCCAAAATAAGTCTGACGTGCCAGGACAGCAGCACAAGCAGACCATTGTAATCAAAAATGACAAACTGCAAAAAATTAGTAAAATAATTCCAGGAATGGTTGTTTTGTGTCATCAAGCAGAACCTGCAGTTCTTCAAATGCAAATAATTTGAGCTGTGCTATTAAAAAACTTGATATAACAAAGTAGATATGTTTAATTTTAATCACTATAGTTTGACCTGGCATTAAAGGCGGTCTATTTATAAGAAAAGTCAATCAAGTTTTAATTAAATATGTGTGTGGCTGCTTTGTAAAGCAATTTTTCTTAAAGTATTGTGAGAGTATGGTACACACAAACAATCAATTGTAATAATTGTTTCTGAGGTACCTTCCTGGTCTGCCTATCCTCACTAGTTTTGGTCTGTCTAACCTGTTTTGATTTTTACTTGGGAGGAATTTCATGTCCTGCTTTACTCTGACCAACTACCAAAGATGAAGAAAGGCCAAAACAGATCCAACAGCAAAACCACGGAATAAGCCGGACCATTGTAATCAGAAAAAACAAACTACAAAAATTAGTGAAATGGTTACAGGAAAAGTTGTTTTGGGTCTCAACATCAAGAAGAACCTGCGGTTCTTTAACTCCATGTAATATTGAGCTGTGTTATTAAACAAGATTTTCAATATAATAAAATACTTTCAATTAATTAAGGTATTTAGTTGTGATAAAAAAGTCAATGTCACGAGCGGGATTCGAACCTTCGGCTAGATACGCCGCTACTCTACCACCTGGGATTGAAAGATATTAATTGGTCAAGTGGACCACGAAAACTAGTGAATTGAATAATAAAATACATTACATCTAATTTTAATCAATAGAAACAAGAAGTTTGACCTGCCATTCAAGACGGGATTTTGATAATTATGCAAACTGTGTTCAAAGGTTGATGGTGATGAGTGAACTCTCGTTGGTTTTGTCCATCAGAAATGGTTTAAACTTTTGCCTTTAAGAAAGTTCATATCTTCATGACCTGAACTGAAGCTGCTAAAAGTGCAAATAACAACTTTTCAATTTTCACATATATTTATTAGAAATAAAGGTTTTATTTAAATATTTTGTTTGGCTGCTTTATAAAGCAATTTTGCTTAAGTGACAGTACAGTAGAAACAATTGTGATATTTCTGCCTAAATTGTGTTGAACCTGATACAATCTTCCAGGCCTGTCTTCCTTGCTATTTTCAGGTCTAACTGGCTTGTTTTGAGTTCACCTGGGAGGAAGATCATGTCTTGCATTTCTCTGATCAACTATTGAACATGGAAAATGCTGAAACATGTAAAAAAAAATTATATATACCAAAGCAATGAGGATCAGTGGACCAAGATGCTTCTTAACAAACAAACGTAAAAAAAAAAAAAATCAGGAAAAGTAACTGTGCTTCACAGAATCTAGCAGAACCTGTGACACATTAATATATATAAAACAAAGTAATACCAATTGTTAATCAATGGAAAATTGAAAACAAGAAATTTAGCTTGGCATTTTAGACAAACAGATACAGAGTGGAATGACAATTTTCTCTTAACAGTTTTATATATTTATATAAAACTGTTGTAAATTATCTATGTAACTGTGTAAAATATCTTGCATTACCCTGGCCCACCACTGAAGATAGAAATTCATCTGATCAAAACAGTGTGGGTAAGCAAGTGGCCAAATTACAAACGAGCAATTAATAAAACGATTCCAGTGAAAGTTTGTTAGGGAACTTTTAGACTCTCAATGTTAACTGTACAACTCAATACTCATCTGACCAAATTAGGTAATAGATTAAAGCCAGATTAAAGGATGACTTTTGCCGTTGGTTCTTTTAAAGTGCACAGTCAAAGTAAAATGTCTAATAGATGTGTTTAATTAACATCTTTCCTTTTCTGTTCCATTAAATGTATTAAAAATCTTATTAAAACTGACCCCGCATTTGATTATATTATTCATTCATTCATAATCACCCAACTGATTTTTTCAATCTGTATTTCAGTTTTCACAGCTTTCCCGTTATATTATAGGGTGGTGGGGAATACAGTAGCATGATAAACAACTCTGTTATCTCTGAGTAATAGAAATATTGACTGTACTTTGTTTGAAACTCGAAAATCAGATGTTCTCCGTAGACTTCACACCTAGACTGTCAACGGTGATAGTTAAGAAATAAGTAAATTTTTATCTTGCTCAACTCATAAAACAATAAAGAAATAAATACATTCATATATTTTATATTTTTCCTCCAAGACCCTTTTTAATGCAACTTAGGGGAGTAGAAAAACATGTTAATGTGTAACATTTACTGTTCCAACAAGGGAAAAGTTGCTTTGCATTTTTTTAAATAATAATTATAAGTCATATAAAGCACTAAATTTGCTCTGTATAATAAATTAATTTAGGGCCACAAAAATAAATTAAATACATAAAGCTGGCTCTTCCATCCGTAAATGTAATTGTGCTTGTCTGTTTAAAATTTTATTGCCAATTTTCCGGCAGACGATGTAACGGCTATATTGATCTTAATAAGCTCAATTCTGCACATACGCATGCTACCATGAGGCATTTACTCCAAGCCAAATTTTAAGATTTGGCAAAGAGCAGCAGATTTTATTCTGGGGAAACATCCAAAATAAAAGAATTGATTTCCAGTGATATTATCATAAATTTTTTGATATAAAAGAAACCAAATAAATAAAAAAATAAAAATACAATGAAACTGAAAGATAATCAAATGAAAATTGAAGGAAATAAGAGATAGAAAAAAAAAATGTTAGGACCAGAACAACAGACATTCTGCTACCTCGAGTATGAGTATCATTTTGTCAAAACACCCTTGAAAGAGGGGAGAGGGTTAAAATGTTGTCTTGTTCTGGTAACCGTGACAATGTGTACTCATATATACAGAGTTGAGCTTCTGGCATCTGTTTCGGCAGTCCAGGATCATCGGTCAGGCAGTCCCACTGCCGAAGCTCCAGGGTTGTGTCATTTTAGCCCCCAACGCATGCACTTTTTAAATGTCGCAAATAATTAATTTCCCATTTATATAACATTCACTCAATAGGGTGATTCTTCCATTCCACTGTCAGAAATACAAAACAATTAAATAAGTATATACCAAGTAAATACTATAACAGCCCTGTTTCTCAATTTAAAAAAAAATTAATACAAAGGTCAAGCACATTTTTCATATTCCTTAGGTGGTATTCCTACTTAGGTCTTTGGCTATATATGGAGCCAAGGACCTTAATTAAGTCGGACACATTGAGCAACCTTGTATGGCCTATTGATAATCGGATGAGTATGATCCCTTTCAAATCAGATCCTGCAAGATCCACGTATCGACTGTGCTCTTGATACGTGAGAGCTTCTCTGCCAATCCGGCCCACTGATTTAATTGTTTTTTAATTTTTTTAAATTGCATTTTTGGCATTAGTGTACCAGATCGTGGTGGTTAAGACCAGAAGTCGGGACATCCCAGAGCTGGCCATAGCGCCTCGTCCAACTTTTTATTTCCGGGGACCTATAAAAAAAATCTCTATAACAAGATTATTCAGAAATCACTGAAACTAATCACCACACATCTCTAACAAGAGCACAATTTATTTAAATTCTGGTCATAAAAATATTTTGTTACTGAAATTCAATAACTGTAAATTTTCAAAATTAATTTTGTTTATTTATTTAATTATTCAGATATCGTGAGATGTGGTCTGGTGTGATGTAGGTTTCAGAAAAACATTTTCTTTATCGTGCCAACGTTTCGATCTTTATTGAGGTCATCTTCAGGGCTCAAAGTGTTTGTCTTCTGTGTAATTGTGCCATTCTTGCGTGTCGTGTTGAGAGTGCCATTTAATTTCTTATAAGACAATTTATATATAGAAAATTGATGAAATGGGCTGCAAATTTCTATGTAGCCTTTATTTATTTTTAATCTTGAAATGGTCTATGAATGGCTTAGCATGATATTATAAGATAGATGATTTCATTCTTCATTTACAATCCCTTATCATGCCATAAAGGGTGTTGAAGCCAACTGATTGCACTCGTCTAATTTGGAACTATTTATTCATCATTAATTTTTTCTTCTTTTTTTTAAGCATTGTATACTAATTTACTTTGCAAGAAATACATTTTAATTTATTAATTTCAGTGCCGAAGACTATTTGGTGCGTGTTAGGGCTCAGGTGATGACACGCGATGACAGCACGGGTGGATGGGTCCCCATGGATGGTGGAGGCCTTTCCAACGTGTCTGTCTGTAAGCGTGAAATCTCCATTGAAGAAGAGCCAAAAAATGAATATCTGATATATGGGAATAAATTATCAGACCAAAGTGTAAGTATAAAATTTGTACATCCGTCTTTACAATTTTGATACCGTTGCATTAATTCTGACCTATGACTCCAGATAATATTGAGCTGTGTTATTAAAAAAGACTTTGAGTATAACAAAGTAATGCCAACTTTTCATCACTGGAAAACGGGAAACAAGAAGTTCGGCCTGACATTTCAGACGGCTGCCGACGCAAGGGCTTTCGACAAAGGGGTGAAAACTGCGGTCGAGGAGCTAATTGACGGTGAGGAGCAATGAGTGGAATGAAGACAATCTGCCCTTATCGGGTTTTTTCTCACATAGTCTACGCCATTAAACTAAACAATTAGTTATTTCATTTGAACATTTTGTACCTTTATCACTTATTCAGATAACTTTCCACGCATATTTATATGTAAGAATTTAATAAAATTGTCTTATTTAAAATCTTTAGCCTTTATAAAAGCAATTTTGTTTATTAATCTATTGAAAATGGTTAAACTAGAACATAGTCATTTTGATTGGTTTATTCAATAATTTGTTTTAATTATTTTGTCAACTGATATGATATTGGATATTCTTGGAAATACTGGTATTATGAAATAATATATTAATTGTTCTTTACAATATTTTAACTGTTTAGAATAAAATAATTTGTAATTTTATATCTCTCCACTGAAAAAGTTGCATTGGCAAAATCTCAAGCGTTGGTTTTTATTAAGTCTTATATAGTAGTATTTATCGAGAGGGGGGGGGTGTTCACGAGATAATAGACATTTACGTGTTAGGCGCTAATCTTTTGTATTAGTATGATAAAAATTAATGTTGTTAATCTAAAGTAGTTGAAAATTTCAATTGAACCAGATTCGTTGAAAAGTTTCTTACACCTAAATATGTACAGTGGACTTAAATTTAGTTTTCATTTTACTTCTATATTTACTAAATTTAAGCCAAGGTTATTTTATTCTTCTTTGCCTTCCTTTGGACCTCCTGGATTGTTTCGGATGGTGAGTTCTGATAAGACCGAATTTGTTGTTGTCGTAAAAAAAAAAAAAAGTTAAAATGAAGTTGTTAGATAGTAGGTTGAAATTAAATTCGCCTATTATCGAGAACATTGATTATCCCTTCTTTTTTTATCTTAATAATAGAGAAATGGTAAAATATGTAAGCCATTTTTTTATAAATTGTATAAAACTGAACGGCTGGCTAAAGATAATTTTATCAGTTGACAAACCAGTCGAATTTTTTACACAGCATGATTTTTGGTGTTGTAAATACATGATTAATAAATAAAATAGAAAGGATTTTCTATTAACAGTATTGTATTTTGTTTAATCTTTAAAATTGAATTTTTGACAGTTAATAACTTCAAAATTTCAGGTTTTGCTGCACAATATAAATTAATCAATTCTTTAAATCATGTTGAAGATGTGGGAGATGATGACGTATTTATGGTAATTATTGAAAAAGGAAAAATCTCAGAAGTGTTGTTATGGTTTGATTTTTCATTTTAGACCCTCAACTTACCGGTTGAGAGGGGAGATTCAAGATCATCTTCGGATTCTTCAACTGGTAAAACACCTCCTCCTCCACCGCCGTTAGCTGCTGTGACAGAACAAGATATCGGATCTAATGTAAGTTACGGTTACAAGCAGTTGACAACAGTGCATGAGTTTTCACGACCGATTGTCGACGAGAACAAAATGACGACCATAACAAAGGCACCTTGTAAGGATAGTGATGAAAACCTGAAGAAAAAATGTTCAGTAACTCCTCAGTCGCTTTCAACCAAGGTCCAAGGTTCGAGGAAAAAAGAAAGGTGCCGGTTTTGCCACGAACCGTTCTACAGAGACAGCAATCAAAGAGGTAGCTGTGAATATGCACCGGATTGTGTCAAAAATGCTATAAATACAATATCGTGTGTATCTTGTGCACAATGTATGCTCTACCACTGTATGTCAGATCCCGAGGGAGATTACGACCAACCATGCTTCTGCAACACTGCCGACGATCAATGGACGCGGAGGTGGATCGGTCTGGCTTTGCTTTCCCTTATCGTACCTTGCCTCTGTTGTTATCCACCACTACGAGCTTGTCATATGGGTTGTATAACATGCGGAATATGTGGTGGAAGGCATGCACCTGTTTCCCAATAATTTAGTATAAGAGGCTCTTATTTTCCCGAGGGCTCAGGGGAAAATACGACTTCTCTTGTCACTGGATGTCCTAGCTGCTGTTGTCCAATCTTTAAAAAAATATATGATTTTCAAAGTGGTTCAAAACCATATAAATGTGTTATATGTAATTCATGTTAATACAAATGGTAAAAAAAAAAAAATAAGTATGTCAGTTATTAATGTTTTGAATGTGCATAATCAAAAAAATGTAAATTGATTAATTAAAATTTAAGAGAGGGAAGTTAATGCTTTGAAAAAAAAAAAAAGTGGACACTTAATAGTGCAAAATAATTGCTTGTAAAACTGTTGTCAAATAAAAATCGATGGAATTAGAGTTCTGCAATTCACATTACTGGAGTTGTTGATAATGTTATTAATTTTAATTATTGTATAATAGTAATGTGATTGTTATGTGTCACTTTGTTTTTGTCAAAATTTATTTTTAAGGCATTTCATATTATTAGCTTTTAAAACATTGTTGTTTAAAAAAAAATTTATTTATTCTTTGTATAGATAGTTACACATAGTTTATATTTACTGCAAAAAGAAGAGGAAAAGAAAAACTGATTGTAACTTATATTTTTGCATGTTTTTTTCCACAATCCACTTTATACATAAGTGTAACATTGTTAAGATGTATATTCTGTCCCTTAAATGTGCATTAATTCTCATCCGCACATTTAAGCTTGCAAATTGGAAGTGAATACATATAAGATATGTCATTCTTTTTAAAACCTTATACTATATAAACTGTAAATATATAAACAAAATTCAATCACTTGGTTTTTGTTTTTACTTTAGTGTTGATTACGTCCTGGAATAACAATTTCAAAAAATTTAATCTTGTCATTTCCGCTTTCAACCTGGTCTGCCCATTTTTGCTGATTTGGTTTGTCGGTGACATTTGTTAATTCTAAACATGATAATTTCAATTTCTTGATAATACAAACTCCTCAGCAGATAATTTCGGTTAATAGAAAAAATGTATTTTGATACATTCAGTAAGAAGAAATATTTTTCGTAACAGGGAGGTGAAAGTGCATGTTATAAATCAAAATGGAGCAACTTCCCCTCTGTATAATTCGAACTTTTTCTAATATTCCTCTAAATTTCCACACATTATTTAAAGGTGGATCATTGTGAGGTAAAGGTCACGAGTTTGAATCCAATGACATACATACGAATGTTTTCGATTCGCACCCCAAGGTTTGATATGATCTCTGGCCGTTTCAAACCTTCACAAAAACATTTCTCTAGTTTGTTATGTTCAGCAGTCAGTGTTTTGTCAATGTATTCTCAGCACTATGGTCAATTTTACAATTGATCTATTTCCGCTTTTTCATTATTTGAACAATGTTTTGTATATACAATTTTTTTTAAATCTCATCTTAGGTAAAGGTCTTGTGTCTAATTGCAGTATTTGAACCCGGCATACAAATTGGCTTTTTTTTTCAAAAACACCAACACCCTGAGGGTTGATAGGATTTTTGGCTGATTTGAACCCTCATAAAAAAATCTATCTAGTGTGTTTTGTTCGTCGGGCAGTGTTTTGTCTCAGCACTGGTCAATTTGGACAATCATTTAAACAAAGGACACAGGCCATACAATTCAAACAATAAATGTGAAAAATCTCAACTATTAATATATATTACAGTTAATTAAGGTTTTTAGTTGAGATAAAAAAGTCAATGGCACGAGCGGGATTTGAACCTACGATCTTCAGCTTGATACGCCGCTGCTCTACCACTTGAGCTATCGTGACTTCGCTCCACTCGGACACCAACTTCCCATCTCAACCGCACCTTTTGAATTAATTGTAATATATTAATTGGTCAAGCGGACCACAAAATTAGTGAATTTAATGATTGAAAATGAAGTATACTTTACTAAAGCTCTCCGTGGCCATTACATTTGTCGTCGAGAATCCAATCTGATTACACGACATTTGAAAAATGGCAAAACGGAGGGAAAATTCAAAAGGTGTGGTTGAGATGGGAAGTTATATATANGAACGCAGAAGTAATATCGGCACCGGCGTATGGATATGAAAATTTCAATCCTCAATTTTGTCTCCCATTCCCTCGCCGAATTAATTATAATAAAAATATATATATATTTCCCACCTTTAAATTAGTAAGAGTCGACTTTCTTATCCAAGAACAAAAGAAAAAATATATTTTTTCACTAAAACCAATTGCCGCTGTCTTTGCCCTAGATTTTTCAAAAGTAGCCAACGAAGAAGCTGCCAGGACAAAATATAATGTTTATATTTTGAAAGCAAATTATAGGAGGTTGGAAAGGAAACATGGCTTCAAATTGTATTTATGGTCAAAACGATGATTTGTGGTCTTGGGTTTTTTGCTATTTAAATTACCTGTCTTACTTTCAAAATTCTCTGTTAGATATTCAATTAATTTGTCTCATTTTTTTATCAATAAATATTTGTTTATGCTGTTTTAAATTGGGAATATCAATTAGTCGTAAACGCATTTAAACATTAATTCAAAAAAAGGATAAAGGATTTTTCAATGTTTAATTTTTACGGAATTTAAAATTTTTAATCAGTGTCAATTGAATTCTGAAGCAATAAACTGTTTAGTTTTCATGTATGTTTTCTTACGTTCAATTTTTAAACTTAAAAATGTCACAGTGCTGAGGATGTTGCGCATGCTGTGGCACTTATTGATGATGTCGTTCCATCGTGTATGCAGCTATTGCCATCGGAGTACCCTATGAAACTCGGCGAGACTATGTTAGATGTTTGAGAAACTGGATCCTACCATAGAAGGCCCAGTTTTGAACGCCCTAGGGTAACAGAACTTCAGGATGACTGTTTTTTGACTTTGAGAATTTTGCGAAACCGGCACCTTACTGGTGTTCAAGCGTTTCATCAGCTCCAGGAAGTTCGATGTGTCCAAATTTCTGAACGCACAGCTCGAAGAAGATTAAATCAGTATGGACTGTTGGCTTTTCGCCCGGTAAGAGGACCAGAACTCAGTTGCACGGCTCGCATTTGCTCGAGAACACAGCCATTGGTCTTTGGAAAATTGGTCTGCTTACTTTTTACAGATGAGTGTAGATTTGCTCTACGATCTCCAGATGGACATGAAAGAGTGTGGAGAAGGCGAAATGAAAGGTACAAAGCCTGTAATTTTTCCCAGAGCCAACCTTTTCAATGCAGCTCAGTGATGGCGGGAATTATAATGGACAGTCGCACGAGTTGATTGTTGTTCGTGGAGGGTCTCTGTCGGCCACTCGCTATGTGGATGAAATTTTGGAACTTGAGCTGTCTCTCCTCGAAGAAATCCACGGCAATCCTATTCTAATGCACGATAATGCCCGTTCACATGTCGGTCGCATAGTACAAACATACCTTCAACAGGATAACGTGAGGGTCATTGCCTGGACAGCACGTTCTCCAGAATTGAGCCCCATCAAAAATTTATGGGATAACGTCAAAAGACGTCCCTTCACTTCCTGATACACCCCGTGATCTTGAAAGGTCTCTTAGTGAAAAATGGGCTAACATCCAGCAAAGAGACATTTTTAGACTAGTAGAAAGTATGCCGAGGCGTTAAGGCAAGAGGAGGAAATATGCGATATTGAAATGTTACTTAAAATTTAAAACTAATTTTATCTGTCCGTCTTTTTTTAAAATTTTTCGTTTTCCTTAGCAATTTACTTTTTTTTTTTTTTTACTTTTTTAGACATAGACTCAATCATTGAACGTTAAAAATCGTGAAACTGTGATTAATGTATAAAAATATATACAAATCAAGTTGTACTACAAGTGTGCGGAATTTTTTGCCTGTCAGTGTATTTTTTATTGTCAAAATGACTCTGAACGTTTTGTAAATAGGCGGGAAGGGTGGTGCTAGGAGGAAGCGCCACCCTATTCAAAACAATAATCAAATGTCAAATTTTTCTCGAAATTTCGTTTTCCAGATCGTCAAAAGTGACGAGTTAAAATTATAATTGTTTGAATTGAGAATAGGAATTTTTTAAAAATAGAGAAATAATCGGAAGGAGGGTCCGGGACGTTCTATTGTACCGAGGGGCGTGCAGTACGGGGATAATGTCAATGAAACAATATGGCTTCCACTTGTTGGTGTCAGTCAGTAACAGTGTCTCGGGTTTAGCCTTTGCCGTGTCGACTTATTTGTTGTTATTGACTCTCGCCTTCGCCTGGGATCGTAGTTCGTGGCCAGACGGGTCGCTGGTGAGGCCGTGTCGTCCGAACGGAACCCCAAAACCTCGGACTCGAGTCAAAAAGGGTTTCTGCACCGAATTGAAAGTGGGTTAGGGAGAGACGGTTTTGTTAAAAAGTGATGTGTCCAGTGGTTATTGTGTTTTCACCGCCGACCGAGTGATATGAATTAAACGGAAAAGTGGCTGTCATGGATAACGCAACCACCGGAGCGTCGGATAAGTGAGTAGTTGTTTTTTTCCCATTGTTTTCCTCTTGTCAAAAGACCCTCCGCCTCTATCAGGCAGAAGGGTTGTCAAATTAATAGTTCAATCGAAACGCCCCGGGCCGCCTCCCAGCCTTTTCAAAACTTAAAAATCCACTCAAGAAATTTTCAAGAAGAAAATGAACGTTTTACCGTCCGATTTACAATCGTGAATAAGCTGACATCGCTGAATTTTCCCCGATACTAGCCTCATAGTTTTCTCTCGGCCGTCGTGTAAAATCCAGTCCGAGACAAATATAAAAATAAAAACTTTCAGCGATTTTGAGGATCCTCGGTTGAACACAGGGGCGGCCTACTTGCGCCCAATGTTTTCAAACAATGATAACAATTTCTCAGAACTGGAACGTTCCCAGGTCTGAAAGCTAAAAATAAAAAATAAAAAACCCACCCCTATTTTTATTAATTATCACTTTGAAGGAGAGTTAAAGGATTAAACAATTAAACGTGAACACGTTTTGTTTCTACAATGATGTGGTTTGAGGTTTGCGCGAGAGGATTGTCAAGGTGTCGGTCATACTTAAAATTAGACCGATTAACAGAAGTCAGTTGCCCTAACATGTTTGCTATTTAAATTACCCGTCTTTCTCACAAAATTCTCCCTTAGGTATTTAAAAAAAAATTTACAAACTTTCTGAGGTTTTTAACCCAGAAATTCAGGTTTTGAAAGAGTTTTTGGTTCTTGTGTTTTGATGTTAAAGGAAGGTAATTTCAAAAGTGTTGTTCATACATAGAATTGGACTTATTAGCATAAGTCAACACATTTTTTGCTATTTAAATTGTCATTCTTTCGTACAAAATCGTATAGGAATGCTTTTATTGTTTTTCAAACATTAATACATGTTGAATTAAGAAAGAGGTTGGGGTTTCAGTGCTTGATGTTAAAGTAAAAAAAAATTCAAAAGTTAGGTTCGTACCTAGAATCGAACTGATTAAGAAAAGTACAAGTAATTTTTTTACTTTTTAATTTTTCAAGATGCAAAAGAAAATTTCAAATGTGTCATTCGAATATGAGGTAATAACCCAATTCCACAGTTGCCCAAATTTTCCTATTTAAATTGTCAGCCTTTTTTTTAATTCTCAATTTAGATATTTAAAAACGATTATCAATGTTTTTGTAGTTTTAATATAGTAATTCAGGTTTTTAAAGAAATTTTTGTGTTTTAATGTTAAAGGAAGGAAATCTCAAGTGTTGTCCAAACCTAGAATTGGATGGATTAAGACAAATAAATTGTGTTGTTTTTTATAAAATTCCCTATTGTTATATAAATTTCTCGCTTTTCTTATAAAATTCTCCATTAGGTATTCAAAAAAATTTAACTATGTTTTTGTAGTTTTAACATTCATACATAGGAATTCAGGTTTTGAAAGAGTTTTTGGTTTTTGTGTTTTCACGTTAAAGGAAGGAATTTTCAAAAGTGTTGTTCATACCTAGAATTGGACTTATTAACAAAAGTCAAATTTTTTTAAATTTAAATTATCATCCTTTCGTACAAAATCATCCATTTTGGTATTCAAAAACGTTGTTAGGCATGTTTTTGTCATTTTTAAAACATAAATGCCTGTTGAATTCAGAAAGAGGTTTGGTTCTGTGCTTGGTATTAAAGGCAAGAATACTTTAAAAGTTTCGTTCATACTAGAATCGACTGATTAACTAAAGTCCAAGTAATTTTTTGCTATTTAAATTTCAGGTTGCAAAAGAAAATTTCAAATGTGTCATTCAAATATGAGATAATTAACAATTCTACAGTTGCCCAAGTTTTGCTGTTTAAATTGTCAACATTTTTTTTTCAATACTCCATTTAGGAATTCTAAAAAGGTTATCAATGTTTTTGTAGTTTTAATATAGTAATTCAGGTTTTTAAAGAGATTTTTGTGTTTTGATCATAAATTTCTCGATTTTTTTATAAAATTCTCCATTGGGTTTTTAGAAAGATTTACATACGTTGTTGTAGTTTTTAACCCAGAAATTCAGACTTTGAAAGAGTTGTTTAAAATGTTAAAATAAGGAAATAAAGTTTTGTTATACATAGAATTAAACAGATTAATACAAGTCAGTTGTCTTAAGTTTTTTTGCTATTTAAATTGCCCGCCTTTCTTAAAAAATTCTAGGTATTAAAAAAAGTTTTTGTAGTTTTTAACCCAGAAATTCATGTTTTGAAAGAGTTTTTTGTTTTTATGTCTTTATGTTAAAGGAAGGAAATTTCAAAAGTTTAGTTAATCCGTACAATTGAACGAGAACAAATTGTTTCACTACTTAAATTGTCATCCTTTCTTATTATATAAAAATGTTTAGAAATGTTTTTGACGTTTTTAAACATTAATATGTGTTGAATTCATGAAAGAGGTTTACGTTTTTGCTTTTGGTGTTATAGGTAAGAAAATTTTAAAAGTGCCATTCAAATACGGGATAATTAACACAATTCCACACTTATAGAAATTATGAAGTTGGGGTGAGTATGTAGGTTCAGTTTTTTATAAAAGATGGTTCTATTCACAGATTAACCTGTAAATAAACCATCTTTTATAAAAAGCGATTCTAAAATTGCCCAAGTTGTTTTCCTATGTAATTTGTCAGCTTTTTTTTAAAATAAAAAATCCTCCATTTAGGTATTCAAAAACGTTTATCAGTGTTTTTGTAGTTTTTAATTCAGAAATTCAAGTTTTTAAAGAGATTTTGATTGTGTTTTAATGTTAAAGGAAGGAAATCTCAAAAGTGTTGTTCATACCTAGAATTGGACTGATTAACACAAATAAATTGTGTTAAGTTTTTGTAAATTTCCGTATTGCTACATAAATCGTTCATTATACATTAAAAAAAATTACAAACATTTTTGTAGTTTTTAATCCAGAAATTCAGTCTTTAAAAGAGTTTTTTTGCTATTTAAATTGCAAGACCCAAAAGAAAATTTCAAATGTGTCATTCAAATATAAAATAATGAACACAATTCCACAAATTGTTTTGCTATTAATTGTCAGCCTTTTTTTCCTAAATCTTCTATTTAGGATTTCAAAAAACGTTTTCCAAAGTTTTTTTTTTTTTTTGTAAATTTCCCTGTTGCTATATAAATTTCTCGCTTTTCTTATAAAATTCTCCATTAGATATTTTTAAATAAAATTTTCAAACGTTTTGTAGTTTTTAATCCAGAATAGGCTTTGAAAGAGATTTGCTTTTTTGTGTTTTGATGTTAAAATAAGAACATTTCAAAGTTTTGTTCTTACATAGAATAAGCATTAATTAGATTAACAAAAAAATTTTTTTTGTCATCTTTTCTTACAAAATCATCCATTTAGGTATTGAACAACGTTTAGAATTGTTTGTAGTTTTTAACACATTAATTTTCATGATAGAGGTTTTTGCGTTTGGTGTTAAAGGTAAGAAAATTTGAAAAGTGTTATTCGACCTTGAACTGATTAACACAAATCTACAGTTGCCCTAGTTGTTTTGCTATTTAAATTGGCAGCCTTCTTTTTTTCCTCTGTTTAGGTATTCAAAACGTTTGCAAATGTCTTAATTATGTTTTGCAAGAGGTTTTGATATTTTATTTGTGGTAGTGATGATAGTTTTGAAAAATAGATTGTCACAAGGCTTTGTTATTGTCCCATTTCTTTGCCTTTTAATTGTCCGCTTAAAAAAATTAATTTTTTTAATCGCAGGCGTTTACCAACATTTCTTTATCTGCGTTAAAAGAGTAAATGATATTTTGGTATTTGTGTTTGGGGTTAAAGGTAGGAAAATTTCAAAATTGTCGTTCAAACTTTGAGAAGATTAACACGAGTCCAAAGTTAAGTTAGTATATCTTTTAGTTTGTTTATTTTATATTTTATTTTACTGTTTAATTATCCAATTTATATATAAAATTCTCCATTTTGGGATCCACAAACACAATTTTATATCTGCCTTAGAACTTTTTGGTTTTTGTGTTTGATGCTTTTTTGAGGTCTATCTTTGGAAAGGATGATGCACTTCAGTGGTTTTTCCATAAAAAAAGGAAAACAATCAGTTTGTCCACACGACAATGGAAAAATGAAGTTAATAGTTTTTCCCCATTATTACAATAATAGGGCATGCTGAACACACACGTTTCATATTATAACTCTTTCAGGCTGATAAAAGTCTATGTTGGATATTTGAGGCGGTTAATTTACAGACTGGTATACTTTAGGAAGATTCATTTAAGACCAGTTTATGGTAATTGAAGACGGTTGATTACTTGATTTTAAACACCGTCTGATATAATTTGAGAAGGTCGTTCTAAAGACAGTGAGAAAATTTAAGTGGTTATTTTCTGACTTAAATACTTGGAGAAGGTTGATTCTAAGATAGTGAGATATTTTGACAATGTTTCACGGAAATGTTAAATTTAAACCAGGGTTTGAGATGCATTGACGGCCTGTTTAAAGGGAGATTTTAATTTTGAAACGATCAACTTAAAAACCACGGATTTTTAGTTTGAATCTGTCATTTAATGACTATGATGTTTTGATAGAAGTTTTTGGTCGTATTTTACACACGGACGAAGATCTCTTCTTTTCCATGAGAACAAAAAAAAAACTGCCAAGTGGTCTGTCAAGTGCTTTGAGACGATCCATTTAAATGTCTATTTCATGAGGTATTGTAGTTGAGATGATCAGAAATTCAATTTTGATGTCAATCTAATTTATATGAATTATAAGTAAATTTGGGGCGGTCAATTTAGAGTATATGCCAGATAATGTTTTTGTATATAGTATTTATCATATGTTACTTATGTATTTTACAATTAATTAAGGTTTTTATTTGAGGTAAAAAAGTCAATGGCACGAGCGGGATTCGAACCCACGACCTTCGGCTTGATTCGCCGCTACTTTACCACTTGAGCTATCGTGACCTCGATCCACTCGGAACCAACTTCCCATCTCAACCGCACCTTTTGAATTTTCCCTCCTATTCGCCACTTTTCAAATGTCGTGTAATCGG